CACAACAGTCACCAGCTCAGCAGGATCTATCCGTCAGGTCAGCGCCTGCAGTCGTCCAACTACAACCCCCAGGAAATGTGGAACGCCGGCTGCCACATGGGTGAGAGCGGAGCCTTTAGAACCTGACCCTGACTCTAGAGACGCCTCGCACTGAAGACAATCCTGTTTATCACAAGAGCAAATCAAAGACACTTCTTTTATACTTGAAGTATCAAGACATTTTACGAGAGGAAATGTTTTATCAGGCGGTTTCTGTTCTGACCAGATTCAGAGGTCTGTGGTCATGAGTTTCTTCTATCACTAATAATGTGGGTCTGGGGTAAATTGGAAATATACTTTTCAAACTTCAACTTAAAGCTTGATCATTTCTAGCCTGGTCCTAGCCATCCGTAAATCCGGTCAATTATCATTTTCCTTCATGTACAAAATTAAATGTGGACGATGGTGTGGTAAGACCAGGATCATTTCAACAGTTTTTGTGAATTGTATCGCAGAGGTTGTTTATATCAACAGTAATTAATTCTGCAGATTAAAAAAAATAAACGCCTCCTCTTTTCCCAGTGGCTCTAAACTTCCAGACTCCCGGAGAACAGATGGACTTAAACCGCGGCCGCTTCCTCCAGAACGGTCAGTGCGGATACGTCCTGAAGCCGCCGTTCATGTGTCGCTCAGACTCCACCTTCAACCCCGAGAACGTGGGCGGGGGTCCAGGACACCGCCCCCTGCTGCTCACGGTCCGGGTACGACGCTCACACATGGACATTACATTTACTCATACAACATACAGTTCCATCTCGAGAATATGTTCTTTATTAAGTTAAATCACTGGTTGGTCGTTTTTGTAGTGTAAGTTGTTATCTTGATATTTCGATGTGTGTTTTTGTGTGTTTTCTTCAGATCATTTCCGCCCAGCAGCTTCCTAAACCAGAGTGGGACAAACCGACTTCTATCGTGGACCCTCAGGTTTGGGTGGAAATACACGGCGTTCCAATTGACAACGATAAGAAAAAGACTCATTATGTGGAGAATAACGGTGAGTGTAGAAAACAGAACAGATTCACTCCACACTCCGCAACGTTTAAGTTTAAAGGAGCAGTATGTAAGATTTTCAAGTCAAGTCATCATTAAAGGGCCCTAATCTGTCATCTTTAAAGGGCCCTAATCTGTCATCATTAAAGGGCCCTAATCTGTCATCATTAATCTGTCGTCATAAAAGGGCCCTAATCTGTCATCATTAATCTGTCGTCATTAAAGGGCCCTAATCTGTCGTTATTAAAGGGCCCTAATCTGTCATCATTAAAGGGCCATAATCTGTCATCATTGAAGGGCCCTAATCTGTCATAATAATAAACTCCATCCATCCATTTTCTACCCTTTAATCCATTTCTGGGTCAGGGGGGTGGCAGTCAGAGATGCCACCCAAGTCTCATAGCACCAGCCCCTCACTGACCCTCTGCAGGTGGTGAGTCCACAGGAGGACGGCTGCTCTCTGAGTGAGAGCATAGCCTTGATCTTTCAGTGGGGGCTTTGGGCAAAGTGGGGTTAAGTGTCTTGCCCAAGGACACAACGACAGCAGTCATCAGTGGGAGTCGGTGGAGAAGGTGTAGAGGTGGGAATTGAACCCACGACCTTCTGGCCTTAAGGCCAATGCTCTACCAACTGAGCTACTGTCACCCATAATAATAAACTGCTCTTTTCCATTACTTCTTTAACTGATAACAGTAGTTCAGAGATATTTGGATTTCAAAATTAGTTTTCCAGCCCCTAAATCTTGTTATTGTTTTCATTTCGATGTCCCGCCCTCCACCGTTTCACCAATCAGTCAACCTGAGTCAGGGAGAGTGGGAGAGGCTGCAGTACCACGTTTGGCCACATTTTTACAAACGGCTCCTTTAATTATAGTTTATTGCTTCTGTCAGTCCTACTTATAGTCTGCACATAAATTAAAGTAGTGAAACTAAACATTGAATAATAATAATAATATCTGTGGCAGTAAAATTAACTTTCCAAACGTTCTCTTCAGGCTTTAACCCTCGCTGGGATTGCACCTTCACCTTCACGGTCCACGCCCCGGACCTGGCTCTGGTGCGCTTCATGGTCGAGGATCACGACTACACTTCATCCAACGACTTCCTGGGACAGTTCACTCTGCCCTTCACAAGTCTGCGAACAGGTCTGTGTCCCGCCACGAAAATACATCTCATCTCATCTCATCTAGTAAACACCAGGTTCAACGGCCTAAACAAATCCTCAGTAAGGATTATAAACTTGTATTAATGGTTAAAGCTGGGGAACCAAACTACAAAGAACCCTCACACCTTTGGTTCCATCATTGATTTTCACATGCTTGTGTTTTTAATAATAATAATACATCGGTTTTATATAACGCCTTTCAAAAACTCAAAGACGCTTCACAATTCAGGACACACACACACGTTTAGACAGACACACAAAACTTAAAATCTAAAAGCAGGAAAGATGAGTATAAAGTTGAAACTAAGAGTCATATGCTTGGGGGAAGAGGTGAGTTTTTAGCTGTTTTTTTTTTTAAAGGAGTTTATTGAGTCCGAGTTTCTGAGGTGAGGGGGGAGAGAGTTCCAGAGAGTGGGAGCAGAGTTGGTTTGGTGCTTGGATTTGACAGTGGGAGTGAGGAGAGTCTGCGGATCGGAGTCGACGGAAGGGACTGTAGAAGTTCAGTGAGGTCTGGAGGAGGAGGTTATGGAGGGCTCCGTCACCTTTTTCAGACAGAAAAGTGAGAAAGAGAGACCACCCTCAGTCAGCCAATCAGCGCTCACCCTCAAATATTGGCTCGAAGGGCACTTTTTTACACAGATGCAAAAGTTAACCAGTGTTTTGTAAATGAAGACAGAATGTTGTGGTCTCATTTGTTCACACATATTTTTCCAACACTCTTTCTGTTATAGCAACATGTACTAATTGCGTAAAAAACGAGGAACCCTAGCTTTAAGTGTAGTTTTGGTACAGCCTTTTTGTGTAGAAATTACAGTATAATGAAATTGTAACCGTAACATTACAGATCTATGTCATATATTGTCACGTTTGAAGTAAAAATAAACGCACTTTTGAACAATATTCTCAATTTTTCCAGTATATACAAATATTTATCCTGTGATCTCACCCCCAGGTTACCGTCACGTGCGGCTGATGAAGTCCGACGGCTCCAATCTCTCCCCAGCTTCTCTCTTCATCCACCTTCAAATCTCAAAGGGCAACAGCAGCCGAAGTCCAGGCAGGTCCCCCACCAAGACCCCGTCCACCAAGACCCCGTCCACCAAGACCCCGTCCACCAAGACCCCGTCCACGAGCGCAGCCATAAGGCAGTAAGACCGACAGGACTGGGACCCGAGAGCGTGTCGTCTGCTGCCTGAGAAAAATCATTGTCATCATGTGTAGCCTGGAGGTTTTGATTGACAGGTGCTCCAGCCAATCAGGGATACACAAATTTGTCCATATCAAAAACACTATAATCACATAATAGTAACATATGGGACTGAAAAATCCATCATATTTCGAGATTTTGTGAAACTTGGTGCTTATTCTGAGTTGAGAGATTTGTTCTTATCTAAATTATTTATTTTTATGATCGTTTCCCATTGGAGCAGATTGTTCAGACAAAACCAGGCAACATCAAAACACCACCAAAGACCTCAAAGCACTTTTTACTGTAATCATCAACAACACTGAGGTTTTGAAAGCGTTCCGGCGTCAGGACAACCGCATGCAGCACTTTTATCAATTGTTTGAACTATTTTATTACTACATGTATTTATTCAATCAGGATAAAAACATTCTGACTGACGGAGTATCACTGTCGGTTCACATCAGCTGCTTCCTGCTTTGAAGTTGAAGACACAGAAAAGCGGTTTCTATGGCAATGTTGGAGTTTTCCACAGTAAAAATGCATGTTAGGAATATATTAGCTTTTAAACACATGTAATGGGATCGAGCCCCGATGATCCAAGATGGCGGCCTGTTCAAATGAATGGCTTGTGCTCAGTAGCGCATGGGACTTACAGCAGGACCGAAAGATTAGCAGAACTCACCCATAATTTAGGCCTCGTGGACGAGCTCCCATGATGCTTTGCGGCAAATACGCATGTGTGGCTCTCACGCACGTGCACAGATGGGCTCGGCCACGCTTCGACCAATCAGAGCTGATCAGAGCGGAATAAGAGCGGGAAAAAAAACCAGCAGAGTTTGTGGCACTAAAATGTGGATTTAAAGAAAACGGGAGGATTTAACAAGAAAAACAAAAGTTCAGGACGACAAGGGACAATAAAATTCCCACAAAATGAGACTGTGATGAAAGCTGTAGGTTTTTTGTCAGGTTCTCTGTCAGCTGAGGTCGAGCTGTTTTAGTTTACATTGAGTTCTATGGGACTTCTGCAGTACCACTGGCGCCCCCTGTGGCCATGGGTGGAACAGCTATAATCCAGTAATACCCTTTCCAGTTATTATAGATCCATGAATGATGCATGTGAGGCAGATGCTGTACATTTAGTGCGTACCGTGGATCATTCTAAGCAACAACATCGCCATGGAGACAAGCAAAAGTTAGTGCGAGACTTATACTGTATTAAAACTAATCTCTGGAACAACATATGAGCAAAGGAAAAGGGCAGCTTTAGTATGATCTGTTTGGTTTGTAAAACACATGAGAAGATGAGAAAGTGTTGCTGGTTTCTTATGGGTTTCCGTCCAGGACTTTTAAATGCTACTTTTCTTTAAAACCTTCGTCTTCAGCATGAAGTAGCGATGTCTTAGATTTGTGGATTCTTTCAGGACCACAGCATGTCGAAGGGAGCTATACCTTCTGTCATTTCTATGCTATTTACTATATCTATTCTGCAACTAACAACTAACTTTTTAACCTATATATTTGTCTATGTCCTTCTACTACCAGCTTTTCTAACATTTTAGGCCGCCTCCCTAAATAATGAATCATAAATTGTTGAATATTGGGGGTAAAAACATGTAATTTATGAATGAATTAATAATATAAGCAGTGTTTGTCAGTTCTCCTGAAGAATATATGTATTTAAAAAAGCCGGCCTTTCTAGTTCTGTATCTGCTGTTTCAAGGTTAGAAATGTGAAATGTCTTGATTTTATGACTGTCTTTATGATATATTTTGTGCATATCTTATCAGTGTTATTTTGAAAGCGGTTTGAATCACTTTGTTTGGAGCGAAATGAAGAGAAAGCAATAATGTTGTAGATGCAGTTGTGTAGCAGACAAACAGGTTTAAACACACGTCTGTGACTTTCAAATCATTGTGATGTTAACTTTATAAAGTTATAATAAGGTTGTTATTTCTGTGTTAATGGACCCTGGTTGACTGTTCATAGCAATGACAAAAATGCACTTAGATGCTGATTTTCTAAAATAAATAGCATCTTAAAAAACTCGTGAGGTTTTCATTGAGAAGGATACAGATATGTTTGTATAAATGTCATTATCAGTTTTCCTCCAGAGATAAGGGAGGGCCCCACAGTGCTTTGTTGTACTCATTAGACCGATTGGAGCAGTTACCGTAGGGGTACCTCACGATACGATACGCGATACAAAGCTCACGATAACAATTATATCATGATAACGATTATATCACGATATGACGATCATTGATATATTGTTCGGAAATATACCTACGATTATTTATGGCATAAATAAAAGAAAAATGTTAAGTGAAAAAATACACTTTATTTCATGATAAATGGAATGGAGATGCGTAATGTAGTCATATATTAAGTATTGATACTAATAAATAAATAACAATTTATTTTGTCGTATTTTTTTTTTATTGATACTTGGCGTGAGAAAGTATCACAATACATCACCATATCGACATATCGTCACACTCCTAGTGACCGGTTTACAGAAGAAATTAATGAATGATAATGTGTCTATTTGCGTTGTTATTTCATGATTCAGAATGTTAAATAATATCTCCAGTAGAAAAAATAATACATGGTAAAACAAGTATGAAGGGTAAATAATGCTTAATTGGCCGGTAATGACCAATGTCACCACTAGAGGGAGGTGTTTTTTCCCAAATTTGAAAATGATGTGACGTTAAATAGACCCGCCCATACGCACCCTCACAGCTTCCTGATTGGACGAAATAAATTCAAATTCGGGTTAAACTATTCTCCACCCGAAAAATCTTACTGGTTGTGGTTTTGTTGATGGTACAGCACATGGATGGTCACATGGTAAAAAGACATGTGACGCTGTGCCACATGGTAAAAAAGGTGCAATCTTTTAAAAATGAAATACAAATGAAGTCACAGACATCACCTTAAATACACATTAAAGTTAATTTACTGTGACAGATCTTTAATGAGGTCATTTTTTTAACTTAATATTCGGTTTCCAAATATATTACAATATTACAAATTCAGTCAGTGCTGATCACAGTTCGTGTTCAGGTCCAGGGAGAGATTTAAGAGAGTGTTTTTCCCAAGAGAAAGTCTGCGTACTCTTTCCTGCGGAGGACTCTGTGCATCTTGAAGGTGTTGGGCGTGGTCCGGGAGAAGGACATGATGGTTTTGGAGAGTTGCTGAAAGGCTCCGGGCGACACCAGCTGCACTCGCATCGGTCCAATACTGCCTTTGATCCGGAAAGACTTGTAAACAGCAGACTCTTGTTGGAGGCAAACATCCAGCTGTACACAGACAGAGAGAGAGAGAGAGAGAGAGTGAGAGACACACAGAGAGAGTGAGACAGTGAGAGACACAGAGAGACAGTGAGAGAGAGACGGAGAGAGAGAGACAGTGAGAGACACACAGAGAGAGAGAGACAGTGAGAGACACACACAGAGAGAGAGAGACAGTGAGATACACAGTGAGAGACACAGTGAGAGACACACAGAGAGAGAGAGAGAGACAGTGAGAGACGCACAGAGAGAGTGAGACAGTGAGAGACACACAGAGAGAGTGAGACAGTGAGAGACACAGAGAGAGAGTGAGACAGTGAGAGACACACAGAGAGAGTGAGACAGTGAGAGACACACAGAGAGAGAGAGACAGTGAGAGACACACAGAGAGAGAGAGACAGTGAGAGACACAGTGAGAGACACACAGAGAGAGAGAGACAGTGAGATACACAGTGAGAGACACAGTGAGAGACACACAGAGAGAGAGAGAGACAGTGAGAGACACACAGAGAGAGTGAGACAGTGAGAGACACACAGAGAGTGAGACAGTGAGAGACACACAGAGAGAGTGAGACAGTGAGACACACAGAGAGAGAGAGACAGTGAGAGACACAGTGAGAGACACACAGAGAGAGAGAGACAGTGAGAGACACACAGAGAGAGAGAGACAGTGAGAGACACACAGAGAGAGAGAGAGAGAGAGACAGTGAGAGACACAGAGAGAGAGAGAGAGACAGTGAGAGACACACAGAGAGAGAGAGACAGTGAGAGACACACAGAGAGAGTGAGACCGTGAGAGACACACAGAGACAGTGAGACACACAGAGAGAGTGAGACAGTGAGAGACACACAGAGACAGTGAGACAGTGAGACACAGAGAGATTGAGACAGTGAGAGACACACAGAGAGAGTGAGACAGTGAGAGACACAGAGAGAGAGTGAGACAGTGAGACACAGAGAGACAGTGAGACAGTGAGAGACACAGAGAGAGAGTGAGACAGTGAGACACAGAGAGACAGTGAGACAGTGAGAGACACAGAGAGAGAGTGAGACAGTGAGAGACACAGAGAGAGAGTGAGAGACAGTGAGAGATACAGAGAGAGAGTGAGAGACAGTGAGAGATACAGAGAGAGAGTGAGAGACAGTGAGAGATACAGAGAGAGACAAAGACAAAGCCAGAGAGAGACAGAGAGAGAGACAGAGAGAGAGAGAAATGCTTTAAGATGTGTTGCTATGGGATACGAGTGGTTTGGGTTTTTACCTTGTAGCGTTGTTCTTCAGTGAGATTGCGGACTCCTTTGAGCTCCAGAAACACCTGATAATGAGGGTCTGATCCACCGCTCGAGTCCCCTGCAAACATGACACATGAGAGACATAGATTCTTTCAGAGGAGATGGATTTATTCAGTGACTGCCGTTTAAGTATTTGTCTGAGACCGGTGATTTCTGTCAAACTTTCCTCTATTCGACCGGGAATTACAGGACAAGGAAACTAGCTAGAAACAAACTTATCTTTGCTGATGAAAGTACACAGTCCGGTCTTTCAGAATCTGCTTACATATTTTACATAGTCACAGCACACAATATTCTGTGGGTCTTGAAAATCAGTGAAATCAGCATAAACGGCTGGTAGTCAATGAGTTCAGTGCCCTATTGTCATTTCCTGTCTTTTTGCACACCCGGGGTAATTCTATGTACATTGCTCCATTGTCAGATCAATAAAGTTTTCTTATGTACTTCTGCCTTCACATGTGTCAGAAGGTTGAGGGTCTGGTCTGATCAGGCGCTGGTCAGAACAAGGTCATGTGTTTGTGTCAAGAAAAAACTAAACAAACAAACATTATGCAGGTTTTTTTTTTTTTTTTTTTTTACCAGATGACTGATAATACCAATTCGGGCGTTCTGCTCTCCCAAAATTCCATCCGATGGGCGGGGGAGCGACTGAATTTTGCGTTGCATTATGGGTAACACTTGCCTTCGCAACTTCCGGTTCTCTCTGCCCGGCGCATTTTCTCTAAATGGTTGAGTGTTTTCGTCATTTTCTGTATGCAAATACATTCCCGTCTCTAACTAGTGGCATATCGCGCAAATCATCCGTCCAATTCACATTCTTCCCTCTTAGCTGAACTTCATTCTCATTGTTACCATCTGTCACTCGCACACACAGCCGTTTTCGTTCACTCTGGTCACTGTCATCTTCTTCTAAATCTTCATAAACACCATCCGCTCGTTGAACTAGCAACAACAATTCCTCCTTTCGTTTTCCCACACTGCAAATACCCTTTCGCTTCAACCTTTCACGCAATTCAGGCACTGTCAATCGTTTGTTGTTTTCGTGAGCCATATTCGCCATTGTATGAAATTAACCGGAAGTGAACTGGGCAACAAACGGTGTCATTTTTTGATCACAGCGCCGCTCAGTGGATGAAATTTTGGGAGAGCAGAACGCCCGAATTACTGCTAATTAACTTAACTAGATTTTTTTTCTGAACAAAACGATTACATGCTCAGACTGGACTAAAACTGAACTAAAAGTACAGAAGGCTTTTAATTACAGACTGAATTAATATTATCTGCATATTATCTGTATACAATAAAATGTCGTTGTTTAAACTTTTATTGACGATAGTATAACATGTCGTGGTGGCCCATAGCAACCTCTAACTAACAACACTTGCAAGTTAAAAATCACTAGCACAACTTACATGATTAATTATTAACAATTTGACAAAAAATCCGGCTGGAGGATAGAACCAGGGTTAAGGGAATAAGCCCTGTGTCAAACCCTTTCATACCATAATTTAGGATATTTATAAACTTTTAAAACACTGTGGTGGGTCATTTTGACTTAAAAACAGCACAACAAAAGAGCATCAGCCTTTGGGCCTGAAGGTCGCGGGTTCGAGCCCACCACGAGACCTACTTCAAGACTCCCACTGATGTCTGCTGTCGTCGTGTCCCTGGGCAAGACACTTAACCCCACTTTGCCTGAAGCCCCCACTGACAGATCAAGGCTCCTGTGGACTCAGCACCTGCAGGGGGCTCAGGGAGGGGCTGGTGCTCTGTGTTCTGGGTGTAGCTCTGGCCCAGAAATAATTAGGGGGAAGAAAATGGATGGATGGATGTTTCGTTGTGAGGGACTAAATATGTTGTATGGATCTTTGTGGCATTTAGGTTTTCTATGCATTATTCTTACCCAAGGACAAGGTGAGAGAAGCCCAGAACATGGCGTCACAAACAAACAGGAGTAAAGTCTAAATCCAGAGTAGTATTTACCCATCACTCCACTCTCGGCGCAGCAGTAGTCCACCAGCTGCGCTCCGGACCACTGAGACACAGCCTTCTTCAAAGCCCCAAGAAACAAGTGTTCAGTCACTTTCTCCCCTCGAACGTTCAGCATCTGCCCACGCCTGACGCAGAGACGAGCCAAATGTGACTTTTGACCAAATCCAGACTTTGAAAAACCCTCAGTCACTCGTACCTGTACTGGAACTCCACGACCGGACACTGGTTATGGAAGCCAACAACCTTCACCACGTCACCGAGGCGATATCTGCAACAATAACACATGTTTAAGTTATTATTCAAACTGGACACACACAAAAACAACGCTTTGATCCATGTTATTGTCTGGTGGATAGATACAGTAACTGTGGCCTATGCAGGTGGACAAACCAGTGGGGGCGGGTCCCAGCTCAAAAGTGGCCAAAATGACGTGCGCTGACATGCTGCAATACCACCCCGGGCCTGTGGGGGTGGACCCAGAAGAAGAATTAGCCAATGCTAACATATAGCATCTTCTTACCTCTCGGAAACTTTTTAACAGGAAGGTCCAAAAGTTGGCTCTTGGCCCAAAGCTCCGTTCCACATGTGTGTCAATGCTGAGTGCTCTGGACCAGTCTAGTTTGGTCGCTGTGATTATTTGAAGTCACTCGTTTAAGAGAATGGAGCTCGTGCAGCTGACGCATGCGCAGATGTGTTTTTTCACATTCTCCAGCCCCCGCGGCCATTTTGAATCACTCCATGAAAGCCCAATTTTTGGCCCATTAGTTAGAACGGCGGAGACAGGCGTGACTACATCCAATAATATATACAGTCTATGGGACAAACGTAAGAGCAAATATCTGGCCCTCACAGTCACAAGGTCCCATTGTGTATCCGTGTTATGACTCTGATATGTTCTGATTGTCTCTGGATGCGACACGTACGTCTTTATGTGTGTGACGTATCTGTGACGTAACGAATGACAAGAAAAACCATGTCCTGACTTTGTTCTGTCTGAAAACTGAAACAACTGAACCCTGAAGGAAACTGAAACTTCCAGAAGCTCTGGTGTTCCACGATCCCGTCTCTGTGTGGTTGATCTTCCACAATTACCACAGATCATCTAAAAATTACCCCATCTACTCCATTTACCCAAATATTTTGAAGATGGACTGTAAGCCAAAATCATCAACATTATAAATTACAAAGGCATATGTCACGTTGCATGGAATGAGTCTAAATCATATATTGCTTTCACGTTTTAAATTGAAATAAACTTATAAATTAATGATTTTCTAACTTCCCCAGTTTCACTTGTACTATAACTATAAATGAGAAAATCACAAAGCCTTCTCTAGAGTCTGAACCTTGTCATTCTTCTGATACTAAATCAATATTAACTTTTTTATTATTATTTGTACTGGGGCGACAGTAGCTCAGTTGGTAGAGCAGTGGCCTTTGAGCCTGGAGGTCGTGAGTTCAATTCCCACCATGGGACCTACTCCAACTGCTCCCACTGATGTCTACTGTTGTTGTGTCCTTGGGCAAGACACTTAAGCCCCCGCTGAAAGACCAAGGCTGTTTCACCGCTGACGCAGCAGCCATCTTCCTGTGGACCCACCCCCTGCAGAGGATCAGAGGGACTGGGGCTATGAGCGTTGGGTGCAGCTCTCATTGCCACCCCCCTGACCCAGAAATGGACAATAAAGGGCTTGAAATGAATGAATGAATGTACATATTTAAAGAAAGGGGCAGGTAACATAAGATTTTGCTTCTTCCTTGCTTCTTTTCATGAGTGTGACTCGACTACAATTGTGTTAAATGTAGTTGTAATTTGTGATGTATTGTGCTAAGCCAGACTCTGCCGTCAGTCCTAGTCCAGTGCAGGCTCAGACCTGTAGAGTCCGGAGGCGTTGGTGACCAGCAGCTCGTAGTTGTGCCCCTACCTTCACCTCCTGCATCAGCAAAGTCTGAGGCTCCTCCTGCTCCAGACTCGATGATTGACCAGGGCGCGCTGTATAACTTACCCCCCTCTCGTGGTAACCGTAAGAACTCACCAAAGTCGCGGCTTTTTGGACAACAACACGGTGTGGGGACGCGCGCGTACTGGAAATCACCTCTCTCCAGAAAACCATGTGATAATGCTCTGATCGAGCGAGACAGTTAAGGCTGCGATCCCGGGGTATTTCCACAATAGCATAACCAATAGAATTAATCACGGATTTACAATGAGATTATGGGGAAATGAGGGAAGTTTCTAAATATATTCCATGTCAGTGATAGACGGATGTGTTTGAAAGTGAAAAGAGAATGGATCCAGAGTTTTTCTTCACTCTATGCTAGTTCATGTAATTTCCTTTATTTATTTTCTTCTGGTTCATGCATGATTCAGAAGACCTTGAACATACATAATTACATAGATATATATATATATGTTTCTCTTCACCCGTAGAGATATTTTCTTCTTCTCTCAGAAGTGGAACGGAATAAGAAAGACTTATAAACTCCCACACCATCCACAAACACATGCGTTCACTTTGGATGTAACTTGGTAATACTGACTAATGTAACTTAGCCATGTACGGTAAACTAAACGGGTGTTTATGTTAAAAAGTTATAATGACAGCAGTACAACAGACAGAAACTTCTATACTGTATACCTGACCCTGATCAGAAGTTTCCCTACCCCAGTTCTCAAAAGTCTGTGTTTCCCCTTTGACATTTGTGGAGGTTGTGAATGAGGTTCTGTTTCCTCTCTGGTTGTGCGGCTGCTCACTGGTTCATTTCCTGTAAATTCCTGGGCAGCCTTGCATGATCTACACAAGTGAGATCTCCGCAGAGTGGCTTGATTATGTCCGAATTTGAAAATAAAAATCTTGTTTATTTGAAAAAGGCCATAAAACCAATTTACAAAGGTGTGTAAACTTTCAAGCACTAAAATGTGGTGCCACCTACATATGAAAGCCAGATCCCGTCAGACCTCTGAAGCTGAGGAAGACAGTGCCTGGTTAGTACTATGTGATGGGAGACCTAAGTGGGGCGGCTACAGCTGTAAAGTGCCAAGGTGTTGTTGTGTCCTTAGGCAAGACACTTCACACACATTGCCTTGAATGAGTCTGGTGTGTGTGTGTGTGTGTGTGTGTGTGTGTGTGTGTGTGTGTGTGTGTGTGTGTGTGTGTGTGTGTGTGTGTGTGCGCGTGTGTGTGAGAGTGTGTGGTGGTGGTGTTATTGTACAGGTTGCCTCGCTATTATCAGTGAGCCCCAGGGCAGCTGTGGCTACAGTATAGTTTATCACCACCGAACAATGACATGTCCAGGGTCACAAAGCATTTTGCAAATTGTTCATTATTTCATTCAAGTTTGTGTTGATTATTAGAAATGTTCAAAGGTTCAAATGGGGGACTTCCGGTGGGTGACCCGAATGGAGTGCATGTGTTGAGCGAGCTCCGGCAGAAACCATCGTTTTATCACCATTAAGCCCTCTACCAACGCTTTTTAATTGTCAACTTGCAATCGAGAACCCGTCTATGATTCAATTTACACAATGCCGCCTCCTAAAGTCGCCAAAACTGCAGAAAAGGAAGATGCTAGGGCTAATGCTAGCAGCATAACAATGGAAGCTATTTCAGCCCTGCTAGAGAAGCATCGTGAAACACTCTCCGCTGAATTTAAGGCTTCGCTTACTGGGATGGAAACGAAACTGGATCAACACAAACTTGTTATGGATGACCACGATCAGCGCATATCCTCTTTGGAGCTATCATCTGATGACATGAGCCAGAGAGTGAGCGATCTTGAGAACGCCTGCTGCGCTCTCCGCGAGGACAACTCCAAGCTTAAGGCGAAAGTTTTGGACCTGGAGAACCGAAGCAGACGTCAAAATATACGAATTCTCGGGTTGACGGAATCTACTGAAGGAGCTCGTCCTACAGACTTTTTCCCACTGTGGCTCCAAGAAGTGTTTGGGAAAGATATTCTCCCTTCCCCACCGGAGATTGACAGGGCGCACCGCACGCTAAACGCTAAACCAGGCCCGGGAGAGCGACCGCGGCCGGTCATTATGCGACTGCATCGATTCCAAACGAAGGAACTTATCATCAGAGAAGCACGCCGTAAAGGGATGTTTGACTACCGTGGCCAAAGGATTCGGATCGTTGAAGACTACAGTGCTGAAGTTGTGTCTCAGCGAGCGCAATACAGAGACGTAATGGCGGAACTTTACAAGCAGGGAATGAAGCCAGCTCTGCTCTTCCCAGCCCGACTCCGCATCACTCTGCCGAGCGGAAACAAGAAGTGGATGAGCAGTGTGGAAGAGGCGCAACAGTACATTGACGACCAGACCCATCGGAGAATGAGACAAACATAAAACGTACCTATTTGTAGATTAACCCTGGGCTTCACACTGGGTGAGATTGTACTATACAGCCACGGGACATTCAACTATTTGGTATGTACCACTGTGCTAATTTGACATTCCCTAGCTGGCTATTTTCTTTCTGTGTTATATTATGTTTTTCGGAATTTCTGTTAAGATTATTGGTGCATGTGTGCTTTTGACATTTATATATTTCTGTAACTAAATTGCTTGCATTGGGAAGGGCTTTTTTATTTATTACACATTTGATTGCCGGAGTTATGCGTTGTTGATGGTTGGCATCAGTCGGAAGTCTGGATACCTGGAAGGTGTTGTATTTTTGGAGCTTGCTGCCTTTTTTTTTGGGTGTTTTTGTTTTGTATTTTTGAATTTTTAAATTGCAGCTTTCCATGTGGGGGGAGGGGGGGCGGTTACTTGTCATCGCTTACGTGGGTGCAAACTCTTACATACTTATAGAAATACACTGGTTAACAGGTTGTCATGCTATCTTCTAAACATGCTGTACAATGGACTTGCTTAATATAGTGAGCTGGAATGTAAGGGGCCTGAACCACCCGGTCAAACGAAAGAAGATTTTCTCACATATAAAACAGCTTAAAGCCAAAGTACTTTTCTTACAAGAAACTCATATTCGCACATCAGACCTAAATAGATTACTACGCTGGAATGGCCAATGTTTCCATTCCACATTTCGATCCAAAGCACGCGGGGTTTCAATTCTTATCTCCCACGATATTCCCTTTGAAATGCATGATGTGATATCGGATACTAATGGTCGATACATAATCATCTCGGGAAAACTGAACAATACATTGGTTGTTCTTTTAAATGTGTACGCACCAAATATAGATGATGCAGGGTTTTTTAAACGCCTGTTCTCATTATTGCCAGATTTAAATGTATACCATCTCATTCTTGGAGGTGACCTCAATTGCTGTCTTAACCCTCTTCTGGACAGGTCTTCAACCAACCCCAGCACGGCGAACAAATCTGCCAGTCTCATTAATGGATTCCTTACTGATTTTGGGCTCTGTGATATCTGGCGCTTCCTACATCCAAACAACAAGGAATTCTCATTTTTCTCTCAAGTACATACATACAAGTTTCATACTCTAGAATTGACTATTTTCTCTTAGATAATAAACTACTCTCTTTAGTTAATACTTGTGAATATCAACCAATTGTTATATCAGACCACGCCCCTTTAGCATTGTCTGTGTCGCTCCCTGGCTCTTTTTCTGGGATCAAGAGATGGCGCTTCAATTCAACCTTACTTTCAGATGCAAAGTTTGTTGAGTATATTGAGAAAGAGATTGCCTTTTTCATAGACACAAATACTGATCCGAATATTTCCACCCTCATATTATGGGATGCACTGAAGGCCTACCTTCGGGGGCAGATCATAGCTTATACAGTTCGGATGAAACGCAAATCAAACCAAGAACGAAATGACCTTGTGCGGCAAATCGGTATAATAGACAAACAATACTCTCAAAATAAAGACCCTGACTTATACAAAAAACGAACTGAACTGAGGACCAGATTTGATTTATTAACTACGTATCGGGTTGAGCAGTTGCTCTTAAAAAACAAAACCAGGTTTTATACATACGGGGATAAGTCCGATAAATTGCTGGCCAATCAGCTCAGGGGATCCAGATCCAAACAGGCCATTACCAAAATACAACTTGACACTGGCCAAATAACTACTGATCCATTGGAAATTAATACTGCCTTTAAAGATTTTTACGGACAACTGTACACTTCTGAATTTTGTTCCGAACCTAATGTAATGAATCAGTTTTTAAATGGTCTTAATGTCCCCTCACTATCTAATGAAATTGCAAAAACGCTGGAGGAACCAATTTCTGAACCTGAAATTGTTAAAGCAATCCGTGCAATGCAGTCAAACAAGTGTCCGGGCCCAGATGGATTCCCTTCAGAATTTTTTAAAACATTTTCAAAATTACTTTTACCATTACTCTGTTTGGTTCTCTCTGAGTCTTGTAAGCTCGGTCATCTTCCTCAATCCTTTTCGGAAGCATGTAGGAAGCACTCTTTTAGCCAAAAAGGGGAAATATGCAACGAGATGCTCTTCATACAGACCCATATCTCTTCTCAACACAGATGCCAAGGTCCTGGCAAAAGTATTGGCTCACAGGCTGGAGAATCTCCTTCCTACCATCATTTCTAATGACCAGACCGGTTTTATCAAAAACAGGCAATCATATTTCAATATTAGACGGCTTTTTGACATTATCTACACTGCCCAGGAAAACCCGCCCGAGTGCGTCGTCTCTATTGATGCAGAGAAGGCCTTCGATCGGGTTGAGTGGCCTTACCTGTTCGCCGTGCTGGGAAAATTTGGATTTGGACCCTCGTTCATCTCATGGATCAGATTGCTCTACACTTATCCCACTGCTATGATCCGTACAAATTCACAACTATCTAGTCCCTTTAGATTATACCGTGGTACACGTCAAGGGTGCCCATTGAGCCCCATGCTTTTTGATTTGGCTATAGAACCACTCGCCATAGCACTCCGTACATCCAACGATATCACTGGAATTTTTAGGGGGGGTGTGGAACATAGTTTCCCTTTACGCAGACGACCTCTTGCTCTATGTTTCAAACCCAAGCGAGACTGTCCCTTCTGTTCTTGGCTTACTTAATCACTTCCGGTGACCATGCGCGGCTGAGGTAAACCTGGCGGAGACCTTCCCACTATTACTTAAATTATCCCTTACTAAAATAACCTAGAGTTCAGATTGAATCTAAAATATCATACGAAGGGCCAACCTGCTGAAGGATGAATAACCCTAAGCCCAAGCAAACGCGGTCTGGGAAGCAAGCGGCATCTCACAAGGAGGAGGAAGTCTGCGAGACAGGTCACCTAACAATGCAACAGCTGATCATAGAACTAGACAAACAACGTCAATATCTTAAAGATGATTTGTCCACTATGATCAATGACTCTATCAGACCAGTGCAGTTGTCTGTGGACTCACTGAAGGAACAAGTGCAGGACTTCACTGTCAGATTGACCCATACAGAAGCACTTGCGGGTGAAAACTTCGAAAAACTCACCCAAGCTGAAGGAACCATTAAATCCTTGGAAGCACGGAATAAAATCCTCTTTGAGCGCGTCGATGACTTGGAGAATAGATCGCGCAGATCAAATCTGCGAATCATTAACATCCCGGAAGGAAGCGAACGCGGACGCGACCCGGTGGAATTCATGTCCGAGCTGCTGAAAGAATGCATGGGGCCAGACGTCTTCCCGCGGCCCCCGGTTCTGGAGAGAGCCCACCGTACACCGGGTGGATCTCGCTCCGAGCACCAGCCGTCACCTCCGAGGACCTTTATGGTGTGTTTCCACTACTTCCAGGAGAAGGAGAAGGCTCTGCGCTGGGCTCGGGAGCATGAACTCAAATACAAGGGATGCACTTTGAGAGTTTACCCGGACCTAAGCGCTGCCCTCGCCAAGAAAAGAGCTGCATTCAACGCGATCAAGCACGAGTTGTATGAAAGAAAAATCATCTTTCACTTGCTTCATCCAGCAAGGCTCCGCGTGCGAGTTGGTGATGAGACGCGCGTCTTCGACACTCCAAAGGACGCTGAGACTTGGCTATCAGGCCACTCCAACAAGTAAGTGAGTGACATCTCATCTCTCGCGGAACGGACTTCAACACATCGGATAACTTCGTATTTTTGTCTTTTTTGATTACTATAGTGAACTGATAAAGACTCAATTGCACAAAGATATATTTAGCCTACAATATATTTTTCCTGTAGGTTTTTTTCTGTTTTCTTTCTGTTTCTATATAAAGTATATATCTAAAAGAGGGGACTGAAAGGCCTTGGATGGTTAAGGGTGAATTCCCATGCCCAAGAGATTTGTGTTGTTATTGTACTTCCTTGGACAAGTATTCCCATGCCCAAGTGATTGTTGTTGTTGTTGTACTTCTTTGGCCAAGTGAAAATGATCTGATAAAATAAAATAAAACATTTTTTTACCACCTGTCAAAACTTTAGGTTATCACATACTCAAATGGGAGTCTCCATAAGGGAATAAGACTACTTCATTATTTTTCTCCTTTTAAGAACAACTTTTTTTGTTTGTTTATTATTATTATTATTATTATTATTTTTTTTTTACACAGTTACTTTTCCTATTGTCAATGTCTGTTGTGCATGTGTGTGTGTGTTTTGTGTGTGTATGTGAGAGATTGTGTGCGTGGCTGCTTGAATGTTGTTGTGTGTGTGGGTGTTTGTGGTATGTCTGGGGCCTTCACTCTGACCATGCATTCTCGCCCATCATTCATGCTTTTGATACGTCACTAGATGTATAGTTCAGATAACGATACCTCATCTGATATTGAGGATGAAGATTTGAGCATGAACTCGCATAACTCTGATCAACGGATCAACTTCTCTGAAAATGTCAATTATAAATCACAAACCTACATGAATGAAATTGATCCAGACGGAAATGTCTTACTAAATTGCAACGAGTGAAAATAAGCAAAGATAAAAATATGTCTCTTGTACATTTTAATAGCAGGAGTTTATGCTCAAATTTCGATGACATTCAAGGTTATCTGAAACAATTCAAATCACCTTTTAATATAATAGCCGTTTCAGAAACGTGGTTGAATGAAAATAACAATAGTGGTTTTGAAATGAATGGTTATGAAATGTTTTGCACAAACCGGCAGAACAAGAGAGGAGGAGGCGTGGCATTATATATTGATAAAAATATAAACTGTAAAATTGTAGAGAACATGTCTGTTGCAGTGGACGAAATTTTTGAATGCGTGACTGTAGAACTGGCAATGCCAAAAAAGAAGGCATTTATTGTTAGCTGTTTTTACAGACCAGGATCAGACCTGAAAACATTTAAGGAATGGATTGAAAAAACATTCATTAATAAAAACAAAAAATATATTATTTGTGGTGATTTTAATATTAATCTACTAAATCCCAATAAACATAAATGCACAGAAGAATTCACAGATACAATGTTTTCCATGGGTCTGTACCCTTTGATTACAAGACCCACAAGAATCACAGCATCCAGTGCCACTTTGATTGACAATATATTCTGCAACATATTAGAGAAAGATATAACCAGTGGAGTTCTTGTAAATGATGTGAGTGACCATTTACCAGTTTTTATGTTATACAAGCTAAACTCTGAAATAACTAAACCTGTTAACACTGAATGTTTTCGCAGAGTCATCACTGAGCAATCAATACTAAATTTAAAGAACGATTTGGCAATACAAAAATGGGAATTTATCTATGAAATGTCAGACATTAACACAGCTTACAACTCCTTTCTTGACTTATTCATTACCTTATATGACAAACATTGTCCAATCAAAAAGTGCACACTAAGAGACTCCACAAAAACCCCATGGATAACCAAAGGGCTTTCAAACGCTTGTAAAAAGAAAAGTTATTTATATAGAACATTTTTGAGACTAAGAACAAGTGAGACTGAATTACGTTATAAAATATATAAAAATAAACTAACCAGCATTTTGAGAGCAAGTAGGAGAGAATACTACACTAATTTATTAATTAAAAAGAGAAATGATATCAAGGGATTATGGAAAGTATTGAACACAATTATCGGTCGTGGTTCCGACAATTCTAGCTATCCTGAGTACTTTGTGGAGAATGACACAATGATAAGGAACAAGAAGACAATTGCCGACAGCTTCAACACGTTTTTTGTAAATGTAGGACCTGAACTGGCCAAAAAAATCCCATTAAGCGATGAACCATTGGAAGGATTAATTGACATAAATCTGAACTCAATGTTCCTCACTCCCGCTGATGAGAGAGAAGTCCTCAATGTTATTAATAAATGTAAGAACAAAACATCATGTGATATTCACGGCATTGATATGAGTATGGTACGTAACGTAGCTAAAGAAATTGTTAAACCTTTCACACACATCTGTAACTTGTCTTTTCAATTTGGACACTTTCCTTCCAAAATGAAAATGGCCAAAGTGATCCCAATTTTCAAAGCAGGAGACAAACATTGTTTCAGCAATTACAGACCTGTCTCTCTTCTGCCGCAGTTTTCTAAAATATTAGAAAAACTGTTTGACATGAGACTTCGTCGATTCATTGAAAAACATAATCTACTCTCTGATTGTCAATACGGGTTCAGGCCAAACAGATCCACCTCACTTGCTCTGATTGACTTAGTGGAGGAAATAACGAATTGCATCGAAAAAAATAAATTTGTTTTAGGAATTTTCATTGATTTGCAAAAAGCTTTCAACACTATTGACCATCATATTTTAATTAATAAATTGGATAACTATGGTATTAGGGGATTGGCAAGAAAATGGCTGGAGAGCTATTTGAGGCAAAGAAAACAGATTGTACAAATTGACCAACATAAATCTGATTGTATGGATATAGTCTGTGGAGTACCACAAGGGTCAATATTAGGACCAACACTATTTATAATGTACATTAATGAACTATGTAATATTTCAAAAGTGATGAAATGTGTTCTCTTCGCGGACGACACAAATATTATTTGTTCAGGTGAGAACCTGGAGCAGTTGTTGTCCTCTGTAACTGTGGAACTGAAAAAATTAAAAACTTGGTTTAATAAAAATAAATTGTCACTTAACTTAAATAAGACTAAAATTATGCTATTTGGGAATCGTAAAAGTAACACACCGGTCAGGATAATTATTGATGATATACCTATTGAGAACGTGAAACAAAATGTGTTTTTAGGAGTGGTACTGGATGAAAAGATTTCGTGGAAACCACACATCAGCTACCTTCGAACAAAAGTGGCAAAATGTGTTGGAATGATGAAAAGATCCAGTCATTCACTGAACACTAATGCTCTACTTCTATTGTATCATTCCTTCATTCTATCATATCTTAATTACTGTGCTGAAGTTTGGGGAAACTGTTACCAGTCCCATTTACAACCTTTAATCTCCTTACAAAAAAAAGCCATTAGAACTGTGTCTAATGTCCACTACAGACATCATACTAATCCACTGTTTATAGAATTAAAAGAACTTAAGCTTCAGGACCTGATCTACTTTAAAACTGCTCAGATAATGTTCAGGGCCTCTGAAAACTCTCTGCCGCCTCATGTCCAAAACCTATTTCATGACAGAGATGCTCACCACAGCTACAGTTTAAGAGGAAGCCAAAACTTATATATGCCTAAATGTAGAACTACTTTAAAATTGATGTGTGTCTCTGTGCGAGGAGTGACTCTGTGGAACAACTTGTCTGATTCATTAAAAACATGTTCAAATCTATTATATTTTAAAAAGCTGTTCAAGAAGGAAGTGCTGAAGAAGTATGTGGAGGAGTGAGGACTTCAGCACTGAGGGAGGGAGGTGTGTGGTCAGTGAATGTTTGGGCCTGTGTCGTGTCGGGTGATGTGATGGTGTTGTGTGTGTGTGAGAGCATTTGTAATCGTGTTGTGTGTGTGTGATTGTGTTTGGCTGTGTGTGTGTGTGTGTGTGTGTGTGTGTGTGTGTTAAATGAGTGAGGGGCTGGAGCCAAATAAGCGTCTGCTTCGTCCAGCCTCCTTTTCAAACATTTTATTTCTGTTTATTCTGTGTCTTGTTTGGATTATACTTGCATATTGTTTATATTGTTTTGGTTTTTTTTTTTTGCATGACGTTTGAAATAAAAAATACTACTACTACTACTACTACTACCTTCTCAGGCTACAAATTGAACATTGACAAAAGTGAACTGTTTCCTATTAATGACAGTGCACAGGTTCTAGATTATTCTAATTTCAATTTCAAAGTTGAATGTGAAAAGTTTTCTTACCTCGGGGTGACTGTTACCAAAAAGTACAGAGACTTATTCAAAGAAAATGTTGCCATCCAATTGAATCAAACCAAACAACTTATGTCACAATGGTCTCCCTTATCAATGTCGTTGGTGGGTCGTGTCAATTCTATCAAAATGATAATTTTACCAACATTTCTTTACCTTTTTCAATCCTTGCCCATTTTTATCCCTCAGGCTTTTTTTCAGCAGTTGGACTCACTCATTACCTCATATGTTTGGCAGGGCAAGCGACCACGCTTGAGCAAGATTCATCTTCAAAAATCTAAATTTAGTGGGGGTCTTGCATTGCCAAATTTTCAGTTTTATTATTGGGCGGCCCATCTGAGGTGTCTGGTGCACTGGTCGTATTATTACAGCCAACCGGAATGTTCCAACTGGGTTGCTCTGGAGCTTTGTGCACAGAAACTTTCTCCTTTGTCCTCAGTGGGCTCAGCCTTACCTCTGCCCCCTACTACTCTATTTGACAACCCAGTGGTCAAACACACACTGAAGATCTGGGGCCAATTCAGAAGACATTTTGGACTCAAAGGTTTCTCATTGTGGGGCCCTATTCTTAACAATATTCTTTTCAAACCATCAATTATGGACATTGGTTTTCAGGTATGGCATAGACATGGGGCCAAACGCTTTAAAGATGTGTTCATGGATGGCACTATGGCGTCATTTGTGCAGCTGAAAGATAAATTTAATCTCTCTCATTCAGATTTTTTTCGATATCTTCAGTTGCGACACTTTCTTGAACAGCACTTGTCAAACACTCCTGAAGCTGCACAAACTCTAACTGTAAACACAATTTTAGCACTGAAACCATCAAAAGGCCTCATTTCTAAATTGTATAATATGATGCTTGATCACAAGATCCCACTGACAGACATTATTCGAGGAGCTTGGGAGGTTGATTTGGGTCTTACCATAACTGACTATGCCTGGCGGTCTGCCCTCAAACTAGTGCACTCATCCTCACTTTGTGCTCGACATCACTTGATTCAATTTAAAGTAGTTCATAGAGCACACCTTTCAAAGGCAAGGCTGTCCATTATGTATCCAGATGTGAGCCCTCTATGCACCAGGTGTAATCTGAGTGAGGCCTCTTTGGGCCACATGTTTTGGTCTTGCTCACAATTGCACAACTTTTGGAGATACATTTTCAACACTCTGTCGCAAGTATTCTGTGTCAGACTAGAACCAAATCCAGTATCAGCACTTTTTGGGGTATTTGAGCACCATGTACATCTCACTGTTGTTAAAAGAAATTCTCTAGCTTTCACTCTACTTCTGGCGCGTCGAGCCATACTACTCAAATGGAAAGATGCTACTCCCCCTTCCCATTCACAGTGGCTACAGGATGTTTTGTCCTGTCTAAAACTTGAAAAACTAAGATTCTCACTCAATCAAGCCTCTAATGCCTTTGACGATATATGGGGAAATTTTCTACGGCATTATCCGGCCCTCTAACAGTATACTGCAGCGTTAATTGTTAAACCTGGTGTAAATAGTTTGTAGCGATGACAGGGTGGGTGGGATTCTTTTGGGTGTTCTTTTTCTTTAAATTTTATTTGTAACCATTTTATTTTACATATTCTCATGTTATAACTATCCTGAAGTGAAACACTCACATTATGACAATCTGCCAACTGTTAGTCTTATTGAAATGTTGTGAGCTTGTTTTTGACATATATGTATAATTATACTTTGAAAACAATAAAAAACATTTGATTTAAAAAAGAATTGTGCATTCAATTATTTTGTTTGTATGGATTTTTGTGTTTGCATCTATCTATCTAAATACCTTGAAAAGCTGGATATTTGTGCGTTTACCTCAAAAGCCGGAGAGGGAGTCGTGTACAGGTTCAGCATGTGGCGAGAGGAGGCGGGTGTAGACGAGTTTGGACCAATCAGGAGACCAGCTTCTGAGTGGCGCAGCGTGGGAGTGTAGAAAAACTTGGTGGTTCGCTGGAGGCTCTCTGTGGCTGGGAAGGCCTTTCGCATGGCGTCCAAACACACGGTCACTCCCTGAAGAAAGCAAGACGCATTTTCCACGACGACCATTTTGTATTTTCACATGAATAAAGGATAGATGTAAGGGCATAGTGCAGAACACGGCAGGAAGAATGATCAGATGGAATGATGGAAACAAAATCATAGTCAAATCTAATCTAAAACATGTAACCCAGGACAAAGTGTTCATTGTAGAAGCTGACAGTAGCAAGGGTAAAAGGTCTCCTAAGGCAGTGTATAGTTTGTGAATGAGGACACTGCTTTAAGCCCTCTCTCAAATACATTTTTGTCTAATATTTTGTCAATAACAGTGCTATCTATTCCTTACTATACCATATATTATAACGGTTATATTGTACTGACTTGTAGGAAGAACTCTGTGTTGGTGTCCTTGGTGCTGAGGAGCATCGCACTGGCCCCGGACGTCCCGGAGGTCATGGCCAAAATGAGAGGCTTCTCAGAGATGAGCACCTTGTCCTCTCCTGCTGCTATCCGCTGGATGAGCTCCCTGTAGTGTTCGTATGTGGTGATGGGGTGACGAGCGCGGAAATCTGCCACACCTGAGGGTTTGGTGCATTAGGGAAAAAAGAAAACAAATATTTAATTTTTTTGAGAGGAGTAAGTAAGTAAGTAAGTAAGTAATGTTTATTTATATACCACCTTTCACAGACAAGGGTCACAAAGCGGTTTACAATTGTTATTATTTTTTTGGGCATTTGTCTCTCACTCCACACAGAGATGGGAGCAGGGTCGCCAGTACAGGAGGCGCATGCACAGTCCTATTGTACATATTTTTAGTGGTAGGGGAAACCGGAGTACCCGGAGGAAACCTACGCAGACACGAGGAGAACATGCAAACTCTTGCTGAGAGGCGAGAGTGCTATCCACTCAGCCACCGTGCCGCCCGGTGTAAATATAACGGATTCTCATTAGTCTCCACAATGTCATACTTTTTAGCTAGGACCCATTCCAAATACCTTTAAGCGTTCATTGAAATCAACCTTTAATCACATGTCTTCATAGGTCACATTCATAGGAAGTTACTTATTGTAAATATTGTTGATTATTCAAATACTATTATTGTACTATTAATCATAAACTGGTAAACTACAACAGCACCCACACACACACACCACACATAATGGGCAATGGGTAAAGTGTCTTGCCTCCGGGCACAACAACAGTATGGCACTTTACAGCTGCCCTACTGAGCTACAAGGTGTTCCCCAGGGTCTCCCATCACAGTACTACGCGTACCCTGTCATGTTTAGCGTCTGGGATTCTGTGCTTCTGTGATCAGACTTTCACATGCAGGTGGTACCCCAAAACAGACGCTGACAGACTCGCATTCATTCCCCAATAATAATAATAATAATAATATGAAACCACGTGACTCTTACCTGTAATAGTCTTGAAGTCATGCAGTTTTCCATAACAAGTGTCTCGATGTTTCTGCAGGCGCCTCAGCAGCGTCTCCTCCTGAACTTGAGCCACATTATGCGTGTCCTCCTCCAGTTTTCTCCTCTGTCTCCCTCCCAACCAGCCCACCACTTTCAGGGCCACATACTGACTCAGCACGCTCCCCACGGGCCGCTTCTCCCATCCTACTTTCGAGCGGATCTCCTTCAGAACCAATGTCATTCCGACCGTCGCACCCACAGCGAGAGCCGCGACCGTAGACCTCATGCCTGAAGTTACACAAGGATATAACGCGTATTGGCCGCAAGAGGGCGCTGTCACAAATATATATTATAACACAAAGACATAACCACGGATCTATAATAATTTCGAGAAGGCACTGTCACACACATTTATTATTATACAAGGACATAAAACGTATTGGCCGCTAGAGGGCACTGTCATTAATATATATTTTAAACAAGGCCATAATCATGGATCTATAATAATATCGGGACATAATGCGTATTGGCCACTAGAGGGCACTGTCACAAATATACATTTTTACACACACGTCATGTAGAGCTAATAAACTTGTCATTTCGAAAACACAATGATAATACATGTACATATAAAGGCTAGTTTCTTCTATTGTTTACATAATTAGTCGTACTTACTTTGATCCTGTCCCACAATCCCGAGAAACGTAACAGCACAACAGAGACTGAACAAGACCATATAAAACCAACTTAACGCCATTATTAACAGCCTCCAAGACAAGGCCAGCAACTTTATTAGATCACATGTTGATTCAGGGGTTCAAAAAGTCCAGTAAATCAGAATAAAAACGCAAGATGTCACTTATGGATGGTTTCGTATTCTACTTCCGTGTTTGGGTCAGACTGCTATTCGCTGATTGGTTGAGAGATGTTTGACGTAGATGACAAAAAATGATGAACAGAAATACTGATAAAAAATAATTATGACAAAATACATCTTGATATAATAGAAAATACATCGTATACACATGACATAATAATAATAATGCTTTAAAAATAATGAAATCATTGAGTTCGTTTTTTTTAAATAAATCTAAAATGTATTTTTCAACTATAAATATGTATTTGTTGGATATAACTTAGTCTACATAAATTCCATCGTGAGGCCTTTTCTTCAAACGCTGCAAAAACAAAACACTTACTTAAAAATTCCAGTGTTTGCGTCACGTCTGTAAAAGTATTTGTGAACCTATACCTGCTTCATTTCCACAGTGACGGCTGTAACAAGCATAAAACAGACATTTATTGTTGTATCGTGATGTTGGAATAAGCTTGGTTATACCTGTCCAATCCGACATAGGGAACGCCAAAGGGTCATCAACAGAGACGCCACAGAAGAGTTCGGCCAACCACAGCACGTCATCAGGACTGTCCACGAAAACCTCCTCAGACTCCTGCACAGTCGAGTCCTCTGCAAGAACATGGGAGAAAGTCGATATTTTCATACCAAACAATATTGGAAAACCTCATCAAATTGTATTCATATTTTACTTTTTAACTGTTCTTTATGGAGGTTAAACAAAAACAGTAAACAGTGGTTAACTCATTGACTGCCATTGACGTATTTGTCTGAGACCCTCTATTCGACCTGGGATTACAGGACAATAAAAACAGCTAGAAACAAATTTATTTTTGCTGATGAAAGTAGACAATCCAGTCTTTCAGAATCTGGTTTCATATTTCACATAGTCCTAAGAAATAATATTCTGTGGGTCTTGAAAAACAGTGAAATCATCAAAAACGGCTGGCAGTCAATGAGTTAATTTTGTTTTAATTTTTACATCCATCTTAATATTTATAGCTGACCTCATCAACATAAACTAAGCAGGTTTGGGACAGGGGAAAAGTGACCTCTTTCAATGTTATATTTTATTTCACAATTTAATGGCACAACGAATTAGCCCTCTGTGACGACTGCCCTGAAGAGTAGAACGGTATAACTATAATAGATATAATCAAATCAAATCAGTGTCAGTAACATAATACATAGGTAATTCAGTACACTGCAAATAGATACACTACACTACAACTGCATAATAAAGTCAACAATAAATTACAATTATCTTAAAAAGCCAATAGTACAAGTTTATATTGTGTAGAACCGGGTGGAAATAATAATGTTATCACTTAGCGAATCGTAAACCATAAATAACACTAAGAACTCATTCTTTGTACGACTGTCTGTGGCACCTTCACACGTGGACGTTTCCAGCTCAGTGGAGCCAAGAGTCGAGGACGATGTTAAACGGCGTAGTTTCTGCATCAGAAGATTCCCGTCACAAATGTAAGTCTCTCTGTACACGCCACACACTGCAGAGAAAAACATACAACTGTGATGAGAACATTTAAGAACATGTATCACTTTAATGAAGAGAGCCTTCTTCAAAGTCCAAATCCAACTCCTGACACTTTCTGACATCACATGGTTAAACAGGCCTATGTGTCTTTCATACAAATGGAAGAAAGTAGAGTGTAGATATCTTGATTTTGTACACAATCTGCTTGTTTTAGTATTTTTAAAAACTCACACAATTATCACTACAACTAGTTCAATCCTGTATCAAATTAAAGCAATAATCAAAACCATAATTGTCAATAACCATAATTGTCAATAACCATAATTGTCAATAACCTTAATTGTCAATAATAGACAATTACTATTTGCCTGAAGCCCCCACTGAAATATCTCAGCTCCTGTGGACTCAGCACCTGCAGGAGGATCAGTGAGAGGCTGGTGCTCTGTGTACTGGGTGGCATCTCTGGCCACCCCCCCCGACCCGGAAATGGATTAAGGGGAAGAAGATGGATGGATGGATGGATGTCAATAATAGCGTGTAACCCTGTAATACTATATGTAATATTGTGAAGTACAGTGTACTTTGGGTTTTCTACAGAATTGATTATTTTCTGAATACTTGAAACAGTTAATAAATATTGTCATTGAGTGCAGCTTATACTGTATATTGCTACATGGCCTCCTGGGGCTCCTGGGGGTCCTGGTTCTGACCGAGGCTGGGCTCCGTCTGTCGGCTGAGGTCCAGTGCGTCTCTGACCGACATGTGGAAGCGGTGAGTGTGGCGCAGGTGCCTCAGGACCAGGCCACAGTGCAGGGCCGAGGGGCCGTGGAACCGCAGCTTGGGCAGACACAGAGAGCCCACTGCATGGATGTCCAGCCGGCAGCCCTGGAGACCCACAAACCAGCAGTCTCATTTGGATAAATATGCAGAAACAAAACCACAGACAATATTCATTTTGTTGTGATTTTAGAAAATATGTAGAAAATAGAAAATAGAAAATATGATTGCAACATATTTACTAACTTACTTCTCTCTCACCAAGAAAATGAATAATTTAGATTAAAATATTTCAATGTGTGGAGATCAGATTATGAACCTAATTAATAACCTTGAACTGATACAGTGCTAGTGACTTTTAAATTCAGAATAAATTGAAAAAAAAAAGGGAAACATCCAAAAGAAGCACCATATAATGATGCTGCTTGTGATTATTCTACATTCATGAAAGTGCCAGGATTTAACAGACATGACACCTGTAATGTGACTTTCTGAGAGATTACCTGAACAGAGACATGCTCCAGATCTGTCCAAGTGAAGTCATGCAGCAAACACAGCCTGCCGCCCACGTCCTGATCCACGGCAGAAAAACAACACCTCAATTCTTTGTTTAAAACCTCACGTCTCCGTTCATGGGTTAAATCTTTTCCCTGCCGTGGAAATGGCTGCATCCCGAGTGTGGCGTCCCCCAAGGGTCGACCCCTGGACCTTTTTAACTTCTCAACAGAGGTTTTTGGCCCAAACAAAAAGACAAAATCATCAAAATAACTTAGCAAAATATAATCAATGGACAAAGAGCTTATTTTTGATTATCTGGTCTGTTGAATGGACAACTTCGCAAAAACCTTTGAGACGACTAATGCTGTGATTTAGGCCTCTACAAAAATACATTGAACTGAACTGTTTTCAACATGGAAGTGAGTTAGTTCGACAAACCTGATAGATGCAGACTCCATTTGGCCCAACACCAACATTTATTGAAAAAACCTTCTCTTTCTTTCCCTGCAGAACGATAATGGGGCAGTTAGATTCAAAAATGGATCAATCTTACTCCTACTTTCACACTTTGCCCGATTCTACCCGTCTCATCTTGTACAGAGTCTGTGGCACGTCCTGCACCGTGTTCGCCAACTTCACAAACTCCAGAACGGCATCTCTCTGTGACGCCCCTCTCAGATCCTCGTGTAACTGTGGCGTGTGATGAAGAACGTAGTCTCTTCCTCTTCTTTTTATGAGCTGTGGACAAACAACAACAACAACACATAGTATTGGCTTCGAATGGTTCCGAGAATAGACTTTAAAACAGCTCTCTATGGCCTCACACCGAAGGACATCAGTGACATGTTAGAGATGTATGAACCAGCCTGGACTCTGAGGAGCACAGGGACTGGCCTCCTGCTGGGACTCTGAGGAGCACAGGGACTGGCCTCCTGCTGGGACTCTGAGGAGCACAGGGACTGGCCTCCTGCTGGGACTCTGAGGAGCACAGGGACTGGCCTCCTGCTGGGACTCTGAGGAGCACAGGGTCTGGACTCCTGCTGGGACTCTGAGGAGCACAGGGACTGGACTCCAGCTGGGACTCTGAGGAGCACAGGGACTGGACTCCTGCTGGGACTCTGAGGAGCACAGGGACTGGACTCCTGCTGGGACTCTGAGGAGCACAGGGACTGGACTCCTGCTGGGACTCTGAGGAGCACAGGGACTGGACTCCTGCTGGGACTCTGAGGAGCACAGGGACTGGACTCCTGCTGGGACTCTGAGGAGCACAGGGACGGGACTCCTGCTGGGACTCTGAGGAGCACAGGGACGGGACTCCTGCTGGGACTCTGAGGAGCACAGGGACTGGACTCCTGCTGGGACTCTGAGGAGCACAGGGACTGGACTCCTGCTGGGACTCTGAGGAGCACAGGGTCTGGACTCCTGCTGGGACTCTGAGGAGCACAGGGACTGGACTCCTGCTGGGACTCTGAGGAGCACAGGGACTGGACTCCTGCTGGGACTCTGAGGAGCACAGGGACTGGACTCCTGCTGGGACTCTGAGGAGCACAGGGACTGGACTCCTGCTGGGACTCTGAGGAGCACAGGGTCTGGACTCCTGCTGGGACTCTGAGGAGCACAGGGACTGGACTCCTGCTGGGACTCTGAGGAGCACAGGGACTGGACTCCTGCTGGGACTCTGAGGAGCACAGGGACTGGACTCCTGCTGGGACTCTGAGGAGCACAGGGACTGGACTCCTGCTGGGACTCTGAGGAGCACAGGGACTGGACTCCTGCTGGGACTCTGAGGAGCACAGGGACTGGACTCCTGCTGGGACTCTGAGGAGCACAGGGACTGGACTCCTGCTGGGACTCTGAGGAGCACAGGGACTGGACTCCTGCTGGGACTCTGAGGAGCACAGGGACTGGACTCCTGCTGGGACTCTGAGGAGCACAGGGACTGGACTCCTGCTGGGGCTCTGAGGAGCACAGGGACTGGACTCCTGCTGGGGCTCTGAGGAGCACAGGGACTGGACTCCTGCTGGGACTCTGAGGAGCACAGGGACTGGACTCCTGCTGGGACTCTGAGGAGCACAGGGACTGGCCTCCTGCTGGGACTCTGAGGAGCACAGGGACTGGACTCCTGCTGGGACTCTGAGGAGCACAGGGACTGGACTCCTACTGGGACTCTGAGGAGCACAGGGACTGGACTCCTGCTGGGACTCTGAGGAGCACAGGGACTGGACTCCTGCCGGGACTCTGAGGAGCACAGGGACTGGACTCCTGCTGGGACTCTGAGGAGCACAGGGACTGGCCTCATGCTGGGACTCTGAGGAGCACAGGGACTGGACTCCTGCTGGGACTCTGAGGAGCACAGGGACTGGACTCCTGCTGGGACTCTGAGGAGCACAGGGACTGGCCTCCTGCTGGGACTCTGAGGAGCACAGGGACTGGACTCCTGCTGGGACTCTGAGGAGCACAGGGACTGGCCTCCTGCTGTAAACACAGCCACAGGTCTTACGGCTCAGGGCTTTCACCATAATTGGTCTACAATGGGGTTGGGGAAATAACGGATATTTCTAAATTCTAAAATATTTATAAAACCTAGATTTGCTAAAGTACTACTTTGGCTTAAACAATTTTTTTCCCTTTAAAATAAAAAAAATGCTTGTGTTAAAATGGTGAGGCAGTAATCGATTGTGACTTTATGATTGTGACAGGACTTTAATACCAGCACCAACACTTCCACCCTCACTAAAACTAAACTTCAGGATTATGTCTTTTTACCCAAGAGGGGAAATAATCTTCAGGAAGAAAGTATTGTTTGTGTTTTCCTGGGTCCAAATCTCCGGCTTCAGCCTGGAGCGCGCAGGACGCCATCTGGAAGAAGAGGCCGTCCTGCTGGCGGCTCTGTGAGCGCAGCACCTTCTGTCGCAGAGCCCTGAAGTAAAGACGTAGCTCAACGTCGCTTCTGCAAAAATAATCAATCAATCAACATCGAACCTTAAAGCTCTGTTTGTTTGGAAATGTTACGTTTATTTTGGCTCAGGTCCGTTTGAAGTTTGCAGGAGTTTTAGTTTGAAGTTATTGGCAAAGAGGAAATAATACAATAGATAACAACAATTATGGATGAGGCAGAAAAGGCAAACGTTTCAGTTATTTTTAAGATGTTTTCATTTACAGATGGAAGAAGCAAGCTACAAAAATTCAAAATAAAACAATAAATACAGTATCTGCCTCAAAAACTGTAATATCAATGTTTGCCTGTGAGCTACATAAGGATTTGGACGTTGTGCATGACGATTCTTTTACGGGATTGGACTTCACCTCTAGGCGGAGGTCTGTGCTCTACGAGTGCTTTATCTTTTGGAGAATATCGAATTGACTTTGATTGATACCTTTGCTTTATCCTTCACTAAGAGTTTGACACATTTGTATTTACACTACATCTAGAATTGAGGTTAAACCCAAGACTTAACCTGAAATACTGTCATTTCAGAGCAGAAACTATCAGAGAATACATTAGGACTGACTTTATATTTATTTTAGTAAAGAACTAAAACCTCAGAATAAACTCACTGCAAGAGTCTCCCGCTGTCCACGTAGTGCTGAACCCGCAGGAATAAAATGAGTGGGTCCTGAAATAAAAACAGAGGAACTGGGTGCTTTAATGGATGAGAAATCTGAGGAAGTTTTATAAAATTCTGAAGAAAAGTTGACGAACCACAGATGCTTTTGTCAAACCTTTCCTGAAATACTTTGACAACTTCTGCTTCAGATCGATAAAGAGATACTGATCATCTGGAACACAGACACTGTTATCGCACTCACTGATGTCACACACTCAGCGTTTCCCGCAGGATCCTCTTCAGATGAAATAAAACATTTTCCTTTCCTCCCTCTCACCTCTGAGAACGGCCAGAGCAAACACCTGCAGCTCAGTGAGGCCCAGCTGCCCCAGGACCTCACTCCAGACCTCCTGCACGCGGCTTTTCAGCTAAAAGTCAACACACACTCCGTTGTTTCTCCTTGATTTGAGTGAATTTACACAATAATAATAAACAACTTTATAGAACAGTTCAAATGAAAAGGTTTCAGGAGCACAAGAGGAAGAACATCTGCTTTGGTTTAGCTGTGAGACCAAATGAAAGTACAGCATGTGCCGATGGCTGGTTGCTTCTGTCAGTGTGCCCCAGGGCAGCTGTGGCTAGTTATCACCACCATGTAACTCCTATCTGTCCATTTGTTTTGTTTCTCTGTCTTCGTAAAGCACATGGAGAGGCAGTCCTGTGTGAAAGTAAATATTCTTCTCATTGTGGCTCCAAAGTTTAAAGAGGCACAAGCTTCATACAGAGCAGTTCATTAGCAAAAGCAGAGGTTTACAATTGCCCTTAGTACTTTTATGGTAACTATTTTAGTGCTAATAAAGTGTCACTCCTTCTTGAGCGAGTCCTTTCAAATGTACCGCCCAAAACAAAACAGATTTCAGGAATACTAACCCTGAACCTGAACATGTGAACGTCATACTGTAGAAAAGCTCTCCCAAAGTCGCACAATTTTCACAGTTTCTTTAATAAATGTGGGTTTCTCATTCACACAAGACGATAGAAAACAATAAAGCGGTGTTTTTGTTAAAGTATGATAATATATTTCATGGTTAGAGCCTCCTACTCACCCCAACGCCACAGTCCAGGCGCTGCTTGTCGGGCAGAAAGACCCACACTCGTCTCTTGGACTTCATCTTGTCACGGACTTCACCGTCTCACAGCTCTTTATGCACCCGTCCTCCTACAGACTCCAAAAACAAGCCTCCCTTTTACTTAATTACACCCAGAAAAAAGCGAAACACAAATGAATACCAAAAGACCAAACACACGGAGCCTCAGCATTTAGTCTACCATTCATTTATTTAAAAACTACATGTCGTAATGCCGTTTGTGCTTCGCTCGGAGAAAGCCAAAAACAAAAACCATGACTGAAGCTGGTGATTCTTTTTCAGAGTTACAACTAAAAAAAAAATCTACAGCGGTTTCCACACGAGATTTACTGCAACATGCACAACAGAAATGTGAAAAAAAAACAAGAAAAAACAACCAATGATTTCACTACAGTGCGTTATAAAAAGGCACCTGCTTTCACAAACACAGGCAATTGTCCTATACAGTAGTTACAATTCACGGGAGGTCACATGAGTCAAATACTGACCATTTCATCGTAAATCTAATCAAATCGTACCATTAGACTGATTGATTATAACATTGACCTGCAGCTATACATTCAAAAGGTAAGAACCAGCCATCTTTCTACTCACAATTCATTCTATGGGCTGCAAAATACTATTGGTTATACGTAGAAAACTGCAAACGAAAAGCAGCCCATAGGACAACATGCGGCTCGAGGGGCTTGGGGGGGGGGGATTCGAGAGGGACGTCGGCTCAGAAATGCATTCTTTACTCACAAAAAACAACAAAAAACTCATCAATAACATACGTTTCCGTTCGACCACATGCTCTGCTTTCCGCCATCTTGCTTCGTAAATAAGTGACAGCTCAGAGTTAAGAAAAATGAAAGAATATTGAAAAGGTTTGAGTAGCGTTTTAGGTTTTCAGCCGTGTTTTGACCAGTGTGACAAAACTTTTTTTTAATTTTTTATCGCTTATTGCCAAAGTCTTTTCAGTCCTGTACCGTTTTGCCCTCGACAGACATTTGCAAAGTGCCTCCACGTCCGTCGGGAAAGTTTTGCGTTAACGTTGAGACAGAAGCGCTTAGAAAAATACAGAGAGTTCCCGGCGAATGGTAGAATCGCAAATGAAGACTATAGTAAATAAAATAAGTCTAGTGACCGAATTAAATCTTTAGACCTGCTTTTTTTGAATAAGCCGTGTATAAAAAAAGTAAACATCTAGAGGCGTAGTGTGTGTTAGTGTTTGTTCAAGTCTCCGGACATCTTTTTTTCCTAACCTCACATAACCACATGTTGTATAGCAGGCTAGCGCTTTAGGACCCAGCGGTCTCCTTCAGTCTCTGTGGCGAAGGCGTTGGTTCGATGGGAGAAAGTGATTCCCCTGAAAAGGCATGTCTAAATGTTCTGAACGCTGTATAAAAACATAGGAGGGAAAAAAAGGGTGCACTTACAAAGCTTTCCAATGCACTTTTGAATGACGCTGGAGTTATTTTTCGCGGGTAGACAGAGGCGGCGATGCGGCACTGGCATTTCTTTTATCAAAATATTAGTCGTTAAGTTAAGGTTAAAACATTATTCTATACAGTACAAGAGTGATTTAAATATTTGCCTACGTCTTTACTTTGCTCCTGCTTGTTTAATGTATGCATATATTTCTCTTTTACAGCCTTGAGGCGTCTTGCTCGGGGCGCTTCGAAAAGACCCCTGCTCGAGTAAATGTACAATATGAAAAAGGTCAGGTCTCACTACTTCACTACAGAGATGATGAAAAAAAGTTATCAAGTGCTTAAAGTAAGTAATAATCATTGACATTTGCAAACATTTTGACTTAGACAGTATTTGCCAATGGATCAGGCGTCTCTAAGGTTATTAAAACCAGCCGTCTCTCTCAAATGCTACTGTGCCTGCCATCAAACACAAGCAGCTTGATCCATGGGCAAATACTGCTTCAAATGACAGTCAAATGGATTAAAACGTTGCCTAATTCAAGCAAATATAAACCTAATTCGTCATTGTTTTTGCAGGATTTTTACATCAGCGAGTTTTTTTTTGAGTGGACCGTAGAAGGAAGACACAGCTCCAAGTGTTTGTGCCAACAGCAGAGTGTTAGCGTGTCGCTTCGAAAAGGCACTTCCTGGTAAAGCTTTCCACAGCGTAGCACCTGGGATTGTTTCAGGAGGAAGAAGCCCTTATTTGGAGGTGGAGGATGTTCCGTTTCACAGTAAGGTGAATGCTAAGATGTACTGCAGCAGTCTGTTGCGGTTGGCCTGAGATAGGAAGGTGCTGCTCAGCTCCAGTGTGGTCGTCTTGTTCTCTTTGCGTTCCTTTAGGACCTGGGGGAGGACAGAGAGAGAGATATGAGCGTAAAAGATGTGTTTATGACGGGGAGAATAGCTATTGTTGTGATGTACAGTAGAGGACACAAAAATAATCAGATCATTTTAAACGGAACCTTTTAATGTTCACGCCTTGACAAAAGCAATGTATCTTTTGAAGAAGATGTAGGAGCGCTAATAAAAACAAATTACGGCACTATATTTGTGTTACGTTTTTTTTTGTTTTTTAGCGGCCTAGTTTTTTTAAGTAGAGATGCAGCTTGATGGTTAAAGTGCCTAAAACCAAGTGATAGAGATTCCCCAATGAGGTAGATTTCAGCTCCAAGATTCAAATAGATTTAGTGGCTCAAAAATGTATCCAAAACCAATCCCTTACTTAAAGCTTGGGTCTTGCTGCATGTTTGTCCCAACAGAAATCATCTTATACGAGTAAAAAAAGTGTGAAGACTCAGACCACATAACGCTGACTTTATCTCTTATTTAACATTTAATCTTTGTCATTCTACATACAAACAAGTCCCATGAGTCACTATTCCCCTCATTAGGCTGAGAGCTGATTGGCTGAGTGAGAGGAGTCCTCCCTCTTTGACTTTTAGGTCTGAAAATGCTGATCCAAACATGTGACGGAGACATTCAGGGCTTATAAAAGAAATAGAAATAGTAGAAATGGTACTAATTGCAAAATGTGTTCCTATGGTTACGCACTGAAATCCTTTACTGAATATCAACCAATTAATTTTATTTATTTATAGAGCCCTTTACAACACTCAAGGCGACCAAAGTGCTTTGGAATAAAATCCACTAAAACATTTAAGCATTCAAACAATAAAAAGTTAATAAGCATTAAAAAAACATTTATTTTTTTAAATATCAGTAAATATATATCCCAGTACATACAGTATATATAGATATATATATATCCCAGTACATACAGTATATATATATATATATATATATATCCCAGTACATACAATATATATATATATCCCAGTACATACAGTATATATATATATATATATATATATATATATATATATATATATATATATATATATATATATATCCCAGTACATACAGTATATATATATATATATATATATATAGATATCCCAGTACATACAGTATATATATATATATCCCAGTACATACAGTATATATATATATCCCAGTACATACAGTATATATATATATATATATATATATATATATATATATATATATATATATATATATATATAGCCCAGTACATACAGTATATATATATATATATCCCAGTACATACAGTATAGATATATATATATATATATATATATATCCCAGTACATACAGTATATATATAGATATCCCAGTACATACAGTATACATATATATATCCCAGTACATACAGTATATATATATATATATATATATATATATATATAGCCCAGTACATACAGTATATATATATCCCAGTACATACAGTATATATATATATAGCCCAGTACATATATCTTTACAACCATCACCTCTCTCTCCACTCACCCCGAGTTCTTTGAATGTCTTGACTGTGTTCTTCACCAGATAATGAGTTGCACTTTCACCTGCACAGAACAAAAACAGCCGTGAATTCTTTGGTCTTTTCTTTTCCAAACGCAGCAGCAGTGACCCGTGTCTCACCGTAGGCGGCCACGCCCTTCTCGGTGCGCGTCAGCAGGTACTTGAAGAGGCGCAGCGTGTACTCGGACTCCGCACTGGGCTGACTCAGGCTGTGGAGGAAGATGGCCGCTCCGCCGTACGCCTCCAGGACGGGACTGAGGAGGCGCTGGAGGAACAAGAAGAACTCCTGATGCTCCGCCGCCACGCTCACCTGAGGAGAAGAAGGTTTCACTGTCATATCACGTACAAACAACTGTTTTCATTCACTTTCTGTTGTAAAAGAGGAGATCGAGAACGAGACATACTGGATAAGAAATCAATTGTATGGTAGGGCTGAGCAAAGCCTCGTCTCCATCTATAGACAACTATAGACTAGAATTATTACGTTGGCAGTGTCCATTTATACACAAATCTTGCTCCTACTTTCTCCTTTTGACTGGATTGAAAAGTAAACTCCTCTTGACATGTAACCATTTGTGACACTGCCATTTTGGGCTTTGATCCTGGTGTTTAGATTGTGATATTGTAAAAGGAAAGTATATATACTGTATGTTCCCGAGCAACTGACCAATCACCAACAAAATGTCCACGCATTTGGCTTCACATTCCCACTCAAATAGCATATTCGAGTTAGCTGTATTCGGCTTCTTCCGCATTAAGGCTAACACTATGGTGACGACCGCACTCAGTCAGTCCTAATATACAGTCTATACTCTCAACACAAAACATTGGGATACATCTTGATACTAAATTATGAAGGTAATTGGTGTGATTATTTTCACTTTCACAAATAGAAACCAAAAAGCCAGTGTTAGTGGATAATACTGATCGTGATTCTTCTCGATATGGACTAATGCCCCCCGTCAATAGTGCGACAATGGAAATGAACTGAACTGATTTCATTGACTGGTTTTAAGTCTAGATTGAGAGCACTTGAAAGATCCTCATTGATATGTAAGTGTTTTAATAATCTGTACTTTTATGAAATTGTGTGTAACTTTTGCTGCCTCTTGTCCAGGACTCCAGTGAAAAAAAGGTTTTTAACTTTAATGGGCCTTTCCTGATAAAATAAAATAAAATTAGGGATCAATAGCAGACCTTTAAGTAGCGCACTCTCTGCTCTTCCCCAAAGTCGCTGTCCTCGTCTTCCTCGTCACTTCTCCAGGAGAGTGGCTCCGGGAACTTCTTGGGCCACGGTTCTTCAGTGGGGCTCAGTTCTTCTTGATCCTCCTAAAAGAACATATGATAAAACCCTGAAGTCCAGAGATAAAGTGGTAAAGTCTGATGATCACTGACCTCCGCCACGTACAGGACGCCGTACTGGATCAGTCGGTCGATGGCGTCGAGGAAAACCTGGTAAATGGTCACGCACGGCTGTGGGACAGAGCGGACCAATGAGAATACAGAAGATAGTAAAGGTTCAATATGTAATGTTCATGTCAAGTCATCATTAAAGGGCCCTAATCTGTCATATTTAAAGGGCCCTAAAGGGCCCTAATCTGTCATCATTAAAGGGCCCTAATCTGTCATATTTAAAGGGCCCTAATCTGTCATCATTAAAGGGCCCTAATCTGTCATATTTAAAGGGCCCTAATCTGTCATCATTAAAGGGCCCTAATATGTCATATTTAAAGGGCCCTAATCTGTCATCATTAAAGGGCCCCAATCTGTCATCATTAAAGGGCCCTAATCTGTCATCATTAAAAGGCCCTAATCTGTCATCATTAAAGGGCCCTAATCTGTCATATTTAAAGGGCCCTAATCTGTCATATTTAAAGGGCCCTAATCTGTCATCATTAAAGGGCTCTAATCTGTCATATTTAAAGGGCCCTAATCTGTCATCATTAAAGTGCCCTAATCTGTCATATTTAAAGGGCCCTAATCTGTCATCATTAAAGGGCCCAAATCTGTCATATTTAAAGGGCCCTAATCTGTCATCATTAAAGGGCCCTAATATGTCATATTTAAAGGGCCCTAATCTGTCATTAAAGGGCCCTAATCTGTCATCATTAAAGGGCCCTAATCTGTCAAATTTAAAGGGCCCTAATCTGTCATCATTACAGGGCCCTAATCTGTCATCATTAAAAGGCCCTAATCTGTCATCATTAAAGGGCCCTAATCTGTCATATTTAAAGGGCCCTAATCTGTCATCATTAAAGGGCCCTAATCTGTCATCATTAAAGGGCCCTAATCTGTCATCCTTAAAGGGCCCTAATCTGTCATATTTAAAGGGCCCTAATCTGTCATCATTAAAGGGTCCTAATATGTCATATTTAAAGGGCCCTAATCTGTCATCATTAAAGGGCCCTAATCTGTCATAATTAAAGGGCCCTAATCTGTCATCATTAAAAGGCCCTAATCTGTCATCATTAAAGGGCCCTAATCTGTCAAATTTAAAGGGCCCTAATCTGTCATCATTAAAGGGCCCTAATCTGTCATCATTAAAAGGCCCTAATCTGTCATCATTAAAGGGCCCTAATCTGTCATATTTAAAGGGCCCTAATCTGTCATCATTAAAGGGCCCTAATCTGTCATCATTAAAGGGCCCTAATCTGTCATCCTTAAAGGGCCCTAATCTGTCATATTTAAAGGGCCCTAATCTGTCATCATTAAAGGGTCCTAATATGTCATATTTAAAGGGCCCTAATCTGTCATCATTAAAGGGCCCTAATCTGTCATAATTAAAGGGCCCTAATCTGTCATCATTAAAAGGCCCTAATCTGTCATCATTAAAGGGCCCTAATCTGTCAAATTTAAAGGGCCCTAATCTGTCATCATTAAAGGGCCCTAATCTGTCATCATTAAAAGGCCCTAATCTGTCATCATTAAAGGGCCCTAATCTGTCATCATTAAAGGTCCCTAATCTGTAATCATTAAAGGGCCCTAATCTGTCAAATTTAAAGGGCCCTAATCTGTCATCATTAAAGGGCCCTAATCTGTCATCATTAAAGGGCCCTAATCTGTCATCATTAAAGGGCCCTAATCTGTCATATTTAAAGGGCCCTAATCTGTCATCATTAAAGGGCCCTAATCTGTCATCATTAAAGGGCCCTAATCTGTCATCCTTAAAGGGCCCTAATCTGTCATATTTAAAGGGCCCTAATCTGTCATCATTAAAGGGTCCTAATATGTCATATTTAAAGGGCCCTAATCTGTCATCATTAAAGGGCCCTAATATGTCATATTTAAAGGGCCCTAATCTGTCATTAAAGGGCCCTAATCTGTCATCATTAAAGGGCCCTAATCTGTCAAATTTAAAGGGCCCTAATCTGTCATCATTAAAGGGCCCTAATCTGTCATATTTAAAGGGCCCTAATCTGTCATCATTAAAGGGCCCTAATATGTCATATTAAAGGGCCTAATCTGTCATTAAAGGGCCCTAATCTGTCATCATTAAAGGGCCCTAATCTGTCAAATTTAAAGGGCCCTAATCTGTCATCATTACAGGGCCCTAATCTGTCATCATTAAAAGGCCCTAATCTGTCATCATTAAAGGGCCCTAATCTGTCATATTTAAAGGGCCCTAATCTGTCATCATTAAAGGGCCCTAATCTGTCATCATTAAAGGGCCCTAATCTGTCATCCTTAAAGGGCCCTAATCTGTCATATTTAAAGGGCCCTAATCTGTCATCATTAAAGGGTCCTAATATGTCATATTTAAAGGGCCCTAATCTGTCATCATTAAAGGGCCCTAATCTGTCATAATTAAAGGGCCCTAATCTGTCATCATTAAAAGGCCCTAATCTGTCATCATTAAAGGGCCCTAATCTGTCAAATTTAAAGGGCCCTAATCTGTCATCATTAAAGGGCCCTAATCTGTCATCATTAAAAGGCCCTAATCTGTCATCATTAAAGGACCCTAATCTGTCATATTTAAAGGGCCCTAATCTGTCATCATTAAAGGGCCCTAATCTGTCATCATTAAAGGGCCCTAATCTGTCATCCTTAAAGGGCCCTAATCTGTCATATTTAAAGGGCCCTAATCTGTCATCATTAAAGGGTCCTAATATGTCATATTTAAAGGGCCCTAATCTGTCATCATTAAAGGGCCCTAATCTGTCATAATTAAAGGGCCCTAATCTGTCATCATTAAAAGGCCCTAATCTGTCATCATTAAAGGGCCCTAATCTGTCAAATTTAAAGGGCCCTAATCTGTCATCATTAAAGGGCCCTAATCTGTCATCATTAAAAGGCCCTAATCTGTCATCATTAAAGGGCCCTAATCTGTCATCATTAAAGGTCCCTAATCTGTAATCATTAAAGGGCCCTAATCTGTCATATTTAAAGGGCTCTAATCTGTCATATTTAAAGGGCCCTAATCTGTCATCATTAAAGGGCCCTAATCTGTCATCATTAAAGGGCCCTAATCTGTCATCATTAAAGGGTCCTAATATGTCATATTTAAAGGGCCCTAATCTGTCATCATTAAAGGGCTCTAATCTGTCATATTTAAAGGGCCCTAATTTGTCATCATTAAAGGGCCCTAATCTGTCATATTTAAAGGGCCCTAATCTGTCATCATTAAAGGGCCTTAATCTGTCATCATTAAAGGACCCTAATCTGTCATCATTAAAAGGCCCTAATCTGTCATCATTAAAGGGCCCTAATCTGTCATCATTAAAGGGCCCTAATCTGTCAAATTTAAAGGGCCCTAATCTGTCATCATTAAAGGGCCCTAATCTGTCATCATTAAAAGGCCCTAATCTGTCATCATTAAAGGGCCCTAATCTGTCATCATTAAAGGGCCCTAATCTGTCATATTTAAAGGGCCCTAATCTGTCATCATTAAAGGGCCCTAATCTGTCATCACTAAAGGGCCCTAATCTGTCAAAAGTCATTAATAAAACATGTTCTTTTCCAATACTTCTTTAACTGATTACAGTAGTTCAGAGATACATATGTTTCTGTGTGACTGATGTGGTGTGAAATGCTTTGGATCCTCAATTTATGCAATGCCAAGATTTTCACAGATTCAAGTCATTAAATGAAAACAATGTCTGGTCCGAATACAGAGAGATTATGACTTCAATGTATTTCTATGTATGTTTCCTTGCCATTGTTGGTATTTGCTGTTCGTTACAATTGTTGGTATTTTTTTGCATGCACTTGTTTTTGCCCTCATAAAGCTTACATTTGTCCTTTGTTGACATTTTCAAAACTTATTTTGCTTATGATCAAGATGTTTAAGATATTGCAATCGGTGCTAAATGTACGTTGGCGCTAACAGGAAGCCTTTACTTTACCTTTGTAATGACTGAAGTAACAAGGGGTGGGATTAAATAAGTGTTTACTTCTTCCCACTCCTTTTCGAGCATCCATGAGAGTTATGCTAGTATCATTTACTCTTTTTGTTATATTTTGTAAATGTACCTACGTTGCTTGTGATTAATTTGTACAAAGTAATTCTACGCTTACTTACTTGCTCAAAATAAATAAATAATAATCATACGTAAAGCAAATGTATGAAAAAAAAAGCTTGTTTTTGAAACGTCTGGTTAAGGCCTGAAGAGGAGTCTCACCGGTGCCACGTTGACTTCATTCACGAGGAAGTGGGACAGTCCGGCAGCTTTTCGGATCAGTCGCTCCTGACTCAAGTGAAGGTTAAAGGGACTGTCCTGTGTCTCCGCCTCCGCCGGAAGCTCTCTCTGCAGCGCCAGGATACTACAAGCTGCAAGAGAGACGGATTTCAGCAAAACGAGTCAATCATTCGACAAAAATCGCTTCTGAATTAAAGTCCTTGCCAATGATTGCGTCGGGAATGAAGACGTGGAACAGGCCGTTGCTGTAGAAGTTGAGTTCGAAGAGGGCGTTGACCGTTTGACTTGGGGAGATGGTGAACTCGCCGTTGCGATTGGAGCCGCTGGTGACGTTGACGCAGTTGCCCAGCAGGTGGAGCGCCCGCATCACCACGTCCTCAGAGTTTCCAGAGAAGCCCAGGTCAAAGTCCCGGGACAGGATCTCCTCCTTCATGTTGAAGAAGTCCTCCACCAGTTTGGACAGAACCACGCCCTGAGGAAGGAAACGCACGTGGTCAAGTGTGTACACAAAAACTATAGATAAAAAACATTATTCAAAAAAACAAAACAAAACCATTATTTAAAAAAAACATTTAAAATAAGATTTTTTTTGTAAATATATGGACTTTTAAGTTAGATTGGTCTAGTTACGTTTACATAGAAGTAACTGCAATACTGTTCAGACTGTCCTACCCCACCCAACACACACCCACCCAACACACACACGCCTAACACACACACGCCTAACACACACACCTAATACACACGCACACACCTAACACACATGCACACACCTAACACACACACACACACACACCCACCTAACACACGTGCACACATCTAACACACACACCTAATACACGCGCACACATCTAACACACATGCACACACCTAACACACACACACACCCACCTAATACACGTGCACACATCTAACACACACACAAACACACACACACACATAACACACACGCACACACCCACCTAACACACATGCACACACCTAACACACACACACACCCACCTAACACACATGCACACATCTAACACACACACCTAACACACACGCCCACACCTAACACACACGCACCCACCTAACACACACACCTAACACACACGCCTAACACACACGCCTAACACACACGCCTAACACACACGCACCCACCTAACACACAAGCCTAACACACACGCCTAATACACACACCTAACACACACGCCTAACACACACGCACCCACTTAACACACACGCACACACCTAACACACACGCACACACCTAATCACACACGCACACACCTAACACACACCTAATCACACACGCACACACCTAACACACACCTAATCACACACGCACACACCTAACACACACGCACACACACACCTAACACACACACCTAACACACACACACACCCACCTAACACACATGCACACATCTAACACACACACACACACCTAACACACACGCACACACCTAACACACACGCACCCACCTAACACACACGCACCCACCTAACACACACGCCTAACACACACGCCTAACACACACGCACCCACCTAACACACAAGCCTAACACACACGCCTAACACACACGCCTAACACACACACCTAACACACACGCCTAACACACACGCACCCACCTAACACACATGCACCCACCTAACACACACGCACACACCTAACACACACGCACACACCTAATCACACACGCACACACCTAACACACACGCACACGCACACACCTAACACACACGCACATACCTAACACACACCTAATCACACACGCACACACCTAACACACACGCCTAACACACACGCACACACCTAATCACACACGCACACACCTAATCACACACGCACACACACACCTAACACACACGCACACACACACCTAACACACACGCACACACTTAACACACATGCACACACCTAACACACATGCACACACCTAACACACATGCACACACCTAACACACGCACACACCTAACACACACGCACACACCTAACACACACGCACACACCTAACACACACGCACACACCTAACACACATGCACACACCTAACACACACGCACACACCTAACACATGCACACACCTAACACACACGCACACACCTAACACACACGCACCCACCTAACACACAAGCACACACCTAACACACACGCACACACCTAACACACATGCACACACACGCACACCCTAACACACACGCACCCACCTAACACACATGCACACACCTAACACACACGCACACACCTAACACACACGCACACACCTAACACACGCACCTAACACACACGCCTAACACACACGCACACAGCTAACACACACGCACACACCTAACACACATGCACACACCTAACACACACACCTAACACACGCACCTAACACACACGCCTAACACACACAGCTAACACACACGCACACACCTAACACACATGCACACACCTAACACACACGCACACACCTAACACACACGCACACACCTAACACACGCACCTAACACACACGCCTAACACACACGCACACAGCTAACACACACGCACACACCTAACACACATGCACACACCTAACACACACACCTAACACACGCACCTAACACACACGCCTAACACACACAGCTAACACACACGCACACACCTAACACACATGCACACACCTAACACACACGCACAAACCTAACACACGCACCTAACACACACGCCTAACACACACACACACAGCTAACACACACGCACCCACCTAACACACACGCACACACCTAACACACACGCACACACACACCTAACACACGCACCTAACACACACGCCTAAAACACACGCACACACCTAACACACACGCACACACCTAACACACGCACACACCTAACACACACACCTAACACCTAACACACACGCACACAGCTAACACACACGCACACACCTAACACACACACCTAACACCTAACACACATGCACACACCTAACACACGCACCCACACCCACATCCCATAATGCACTACTGTTTTATTCTGTTGATCCTGTTTTTAATGTTTTTATTATGTCCTGTACAGTGTCCTTGGGTGTTTTGAAAGGCGCTTTCAAATAAATTTTATTTAATTTAAATACAATTTAAATTATTATTATATTATCATAACAAAAACAAGAGTGTCTGCAAATGTGTATGCCTGTATGTACATATATATATATTGGATGTGTGTGTGTGTGTGTGTGTGTGTGTGTGTGTGTGTGTGTATATGTATAGATATATGTGTATTTATATACTTATTTGTTTATGTGTATGTATATAACATGTATAATTCGACTTATGTATTTGGGTAGATATTGAGCATTATAAGTCACGGCTTCAGCCTTCATCTGTTTTGGTTTTACACATTTTGATTTGTTTGTGACCATTAAAACCTTCATGCTTCTTCTTAAACATGTTTTATTCATCATTGAATCAAAGTCAGCAGGATTGATTGACATTTGAAGAGAAAGTACATGTTGTCCACATATAAGCCGCACATGAATATTAAACAACGGCAAAATGAATCTATTTTGACAAAAACATTCCAACTAAAATGTAATGGAATCAAAACGATAAGAAATGAATCCGGCTTTAGCCAAAACCACACAATATGAAAGTCTGGTGTATTTCCCTAACACTTCCCTCGGGTCGTCTCGCTCTCTGCTGTTCACATAAACACACTGAAGCAGGAATGCATGCTCTGGAGATTAACAGCTGATAGAGCTGCGCCCCGGGTAAAAAAACATACAATGGCTGCATCTCTGTATTGGCCGCAGAGTTGAATGGTGTTGATAAAAGTAGAGGTTAAAACAATAACAGATATTTTTTTTGAATAATTAAAATGCCAGCCACAGTTTTTTTTTTCATTTCTCACATCCAACTTTTATCCCAAAGATTTTATGAGCACTTTTCTACATACAGAGTCCAGAGTGCATTTTGCTGGAGTGCTGAACATTTATTTATGACAGACACACACACTTTAGAGTAGACCAAGGCAAATTTTGCGAAAACTACATCAAAATAAAAATTGAACCCAGCAACCTTTATTTTAATCTTAATCTGGACCGAGATACTTGCACAGCTACACTGAGCGATACAGAAATTAAACGCAAAAAAGACCTTGGTAATAACACTGCCACTGAGATTTTATAGAGGATAATAAATTAGATTGATGGTGAGAAAGCTAATCTGTTTATAAAGGTCTTGGTCCAATCCACCCAGACTTTGTGCTCTGCATGTGGACACAGCGGTACTACATAATTCAGCCTCTAGGGGCAGTAGCAGTGCAGCAGACAGTAGTGCTGCAGTGACCCATCAGGACATACATGAACAGACAGGACAGACCAGAGCGGTTTATGGTGTGGTGTATGGTGTGTGTGGTCTATGGTGTACGGTATGGTATATGGTATGTGGTCTATGGTGTGGTACATGGTATGTGGTCCATGGTGTGGTGTATGGTATATGGTGTTTGGTCTATAGTGTGGTATATGGTATGTGGTAAATGGTGTGGTCTATGGTGTGGTGTGGTCTATGGTGTGATATATGGTGTGGTATATGGTGTGGTCTATGGTGTGGTCTATGGTGTGGTCTATGGTGTGGTCTATGGTGTGGTCTATGGTGTGGTCTATGGTGTGGTCTATGGTGTGGTCTATGGTGTGGTCTATGGTGTGGTCTATGGTATATAGTGCGGTCTATGGTGCGGTCTATGGTGTGGTCTATGGTATATGGTGGTATATGGTGTGGTCTATGGTATTTGGTGGTATATGGTGTGGTCTATGGTGTGGTCTAAGGTGCGGTCTATGGTGCGGTCTATGATGTGGTCTATGGTATATGGTGGTATATGGTGTGGTCTATGGTATTTGGTGGTATATGGTGTGGTCTATGGTGTGGTCTATGGTGTGGTCTATGGTGTGGTCTATGGTGTGGTCTATGGTATATGGCGGGCTATGGTCTTACCTGTCTGTGTCTGTAGAGCAGCAGGCAGGCCACGATGTGAGTGGACATGATGGCTGATGATTTATTAGCCGCTGTGGAGAAAGAAGCCGGGGGACAAACGGTTAGAAGCACAGATGGAGGCTCACACCGAGACGTCTCGAACTCCGGAGAACAAATAAAAAAGGGAAATAATGAAAGAAAACACGTGAAGATGACATCTACACGTGTTCTGGAAACAATACAGGTGCAACTACAGCAAACTCACTACAGAAAAAACCCGTCGCAGAACCCACCTAATCACCTTTAATTTCAATCATTTTTTGTTCATTAATGCTTATTTGTATGTGTTTTTTAAAGTGTCTTTGAGTGTCCAAAAATGTACTTTATAAATCTGTTTATGTATAATTTATATTAAACCATTTTGTTTTAGCAGAATATTTTTATTTATTTAAATTAAACAAAATGAATCAATACATTTCCTTGTTCTCCGATGTTGTCATTTTGAGCAATGGCAAGACAAGGCAAAGCAAGTGTATAGCACAATTCATACACAATGGACCATAAACAAGCAATTTATTTGGTACAGATATATAATAAACAGATTCATGAATAAATGTCACTATTTTAGATTAGAAATTGTTTCTGTAGGATCGGACAAATTTGAGTTTTTAAGATGGTACGAGCTTCGATCAAAATGATTATTATTATGGGCGGCACGGTGGCTGAGTGGAAAGCACTCTCGCCTCTCAGCAAGAAGGTCCTGGGTTCAAATCCCGGTCGGACCAAGGCCTTTCTGAGTGAAGTTTGCATGTTCTCCACGTGTCTGCGTAGGTTTCCTCCGGGTTTCCTCCGGGTGCTCTTTTCCCCTACCACTAAAAATATGTACAATAGTTGTGGCATGTGCCTCCTGTACTGGCCCCTCCCATCTCTGTGTGGAGTGAGAGACAAATGCCCAAAATTAACAATTGTAAACCGCTTTGAGACTCAGATCTGCAGTGAAAAGGCGGTATATAAATAAAGATTACTTACTTACTATTATTATTATTATTAATGTTTCTTTCAGACTCAAGACAAAATTGGTCCATACAAAATAAAAAATAAATTAAAAAAATTGATTAAAAAAATGATCCACTAAATACAAATATACAGGTATAATACACATATTTCAATCTATTCACTTTAAATACAATAACATGTACAAAAATAAAAATATTATTAAAAAAATCATGACGGATTGATGATTTTTCAAGGTGTAAAATGACAACTACAATTCTATACTTTTAAAGCCGGTGCATGAATATAAAATCACATGCTATTAATGTGTATGTTGTTTTTTTGCCTGGATACGTCCTGGTTACACCTGTCTCTTCCGGAGTGGCTCTGAAGCCGTGGTGTGAGCAGTGGAGGAGGAGAGGGTTACTCTAGTTCACTCGCTCACGGTCATTCGGGTTTGGGGTGTTCTACATGCTGCATTCCTCCCCTTCTCTTTCCTCCGGTCTCCCATTGGCTAAAAACAACATGCCATCCTTCAGGGGGCTTTGTGATTGGTCCAGGAGCCAAAAAAAAAAAAGAGAAAGAAATGTGGGAGAATGCAGCGGAGAGAGCTGGGGAGAACCGGTTTGTGCGGTGAAAAAAAATGAAAAGGGGAAAAGCGATTACAGGGATGAGGAGAATTAGAAGGATGCAAGTTCAATTTCAGTGATTGGGGCCATTTAATCACTTTTCTACCAACAAAAAGTCATAAAATAAAAATAATAACATGTTTGTGACAGATGTAAGCCATTTGTCTATCTGTATTTGACCATATTTTGAATTAAAATAAACCAATGGAGTTATAATAACAGACTGACCGGCAATTTCCCCAAGTAATGAGAAATAATTCAAATAAAAATACTTAATTAAAAACTTGTTGCAAATCTTGTTCTAAAGACAAATTAAACTGAAAGATAAAATTAGCCTAATTTATGCAAAACAGGAGCCTCTTTTGTCATGTGTGGACAGTCCCGCAGCAGTAACAGGCCTGCAAATTAATAATTACACATGTTTTGTTCAAATTAGTCACACAAAATTAAAAAATTATTTGTTTAGTTTAATCACAAGGCCTCTTAGATGGTAATACGTACACTGCAAATGCCGGACTAGAACCCTGTGGCCAATATACGTTTTTTTATTTTTTATCTCTGTACATCTGTCGTAAACGTATAACACCTTCCTGCTTCTTGGTGTGTTTATGTGAACAGCAGAAAGTCGACGCAAGGAAGAGTAATACACAGACCTTGTTTATATGTGATTAGGGCTGTTGCTAAAGCAGAGTTTATGGACTCATTATTTTGACTTAAAGGTATATAGAAGGATTTTAGGAATAAAACGCCCACTCCACTGTTTGAACAAAACTCTCTGGTCTTATTTGACGAGCAATTGATTGACACTTGGGAGGACCAATAGTCTTGATGATCCAGCCGGAAGAAGAAAATCCTCCTCCATACCTTTAATATGTGTTTATTTAGGGGTAAGACTCACGTTTAGGGTCAAAATAGACTGGATTTGGAATTTAGCTGCGGTTTATATGCAGGTCCTTAATAGTCCAGCAAGTACTGTACATTTAAAGATGATTTTTAAACAATGGAACATTTTATAGGGCCTTTTGTATTTTCTTATTAGTTAAATATTAGTTAGCTGATGTACATGTGTGTCTTGCTCTTACTGTAGAGGACGTGCTTGGCCAGGTTGGCGATCAGATGGCGTCTGCAGATCTCGTCGGGCAGCTCTCGGTTGTCCTGTCCGTCACCTTGACCGTCGAACGGCACTGCGTCAGGTCTAAAAGAGAAAAACGGACACTCAGCATCACCGGTCCAGAAGCGGAGAGCGGGCGGCTCATATTCGGACTGTTTCAACAAAGTGACATTGCATTCAGGTATTTTCTTTCAGCAGTCATTGGGAAGAAGCAAATACATGTGGTGATTGAAACACAAATGGATGGGATTAGTGAAAGAATATAGGTAACAACTGTGCATTTTCTTGTTTCATCTGCTTGTAACCCTGTGTATAAACCCACAAGTATTTTGCATTGGTCAGCAGTAATGATATTTGCCTCGACTCAATGACAGAATTGACTCCAGCTCAGTATATTGGGTGACTGACCTGCATTTCTCCTACGGGGGATCAAAGTATCTATCTAACTATCTATATCCTACATATAGGTCTGGGTCTGGTCCCAGTGTCTGCAATTACATCGGTTGAATCCCATCCGACCAATCAGTGAGCGTGGGAGGCGGGTGCTGTAGGTAGTTTGCGCCGAATTTGCTGCTAGTTTGTTAAGGGCGAAGAATGCGATAGTAAAGTAATCCAATCTGATTTTATCAAGAAATTGTCACTGCAAAGATTGTGGCGCTACTCCCCACAGGCTTTGTTAGCGGAAAAGGAGACGGCTAAAGATAGGCTAAATGCTAAATGCTAGCGACTCACTCGGGCTCATTACATACGTCACGGTAAAAGGAGTTAACCCCTCCCACGGTTAACGGAGTCAATGGAGCAAATCCAGACCTTATTACGAAAGAACATTTGTAGGATGGTGCGGTAAGACCAGGCTAGTGTGACTCTATAAAATGTAATTATGCAGACAGGTGAATGTGGCCCTCGTCACAGTAGATTCTGATGTATAAACGGCGAGTTGAAGGCGGCTTTTGCGGACAGTCTTTTTATCCTAACAACAAAGAAGATGATGCTTTGATAACACAGTGAATGAACGCACTGGGCTGATATGATACTGGGCATCAGGCTGTGCTCCAGGGACACGGGGGGAGGGATGTGGCGGCTGGTGTGGGTCTCCAGGTATTCCTAGTATCAAAAAAAAAAACATATTTATTATATCTTTACGTATTCGTCACTACAATTATTCTCAACCTGGAGCCAAAAAAAGATTACCTTGAGGGAGAATGGCTGAATGAAATCCACTCGGACACATCCGTAGTTTTTCCGCAGCATCCTGAACACGCCGCACGCTATTCCCCACAGGCTCTCGTTCTGCTTGGGCTTTCCCTGGACACAGTGAAGATTTAACACACGTGAGACTGCTAATGGAACAAACTGTTATGGGTTAGTACAGATATAGGAGATAGGTATTAAATATGATCGCAGCGTTCTGTATGAAATTCAAATATTTCAGAGCATTTTAGACCAAGATGCACTTCATTGATTTATATTAAGTTTCAAATTGAGCAAATGCTTTACTGAATATATGTGATTTTATGGCTTCTCTAGTGCAAGCATTTTTTGAAGTGATTCAGCTGTAGATTCAGTGTGTGTGTGTGTGTGTGTATGTATGTGACAGGGTTAGAACCAAAAAAATTAAATGTTTGCTTCTCCAAACCCCTTTACAAACGGTGTATTTGTATCCCAATTGTTTTTTGCACATGAGTAAAAACAAAAAAAAACTCCCTGTAACTTCTACTACTGTGCCACAGCCTTGGTGTTTCAGCGGGAGATTCAGGCAATGTGGGGTTAGTGTCTTGCCCAAGGACACAACAACAGCAGACATTAGTGGGAGCAGTTGGAGTAGGTCTCATGATGGGCTCGAACCCACAACCTTCCGTACTACTACTACTACCCCTACTACTACTACTACTGTGATGTCTCTTTCACTGTCATTTTTGATTGATTGATTCTACACTTGCTATACAACAGTAAGATAAACTATGCTATAACACATCCCACACAGGTCTTCTTCTATTCACGCCCAGGTGACGCTTCCCCGACAGTCTGCACCTGCCGTGACAAAGCTCTCACCAGTTGCTCGCTGTTGTAGTTTCCCTCCAGGATGCGGTCGTAGGAGATGCCCACAGGCACCACCAGCACGTCTGGGATGGCGCCGCTGCACAGACTGTCCACCACGATGGACAACATTCCGGCCCGAGCTGGGAACACTTTCCCACTGCGCGAGCGAGTGCCCTCCAGGAACACCTCCAGGAACTGCTGTTGCCGCAGCAGCTCTTCCGTGTACTGTGAGGACGCAAACACATATCCCAAATATAATGCTGCTTGGTCTTGGACTGGCGCAAATAACTGTTACATCAGCGCACTCACAGACTAGGGATGTGAGATTTTTGTGGCTGCATTTTAGCCAATTGCAAAGACTGCCATTATTCAGGACATATATAATGATGTTGTACCATATTTTTTGCACTATAAAAGGCGCACCTGATTATAAGGCGCACCTGATTATAAGGCAAGGCAAGGCAAGGCAAGTTTATTTGTATAGCACAATTCATACACAAGGCAACTCAAAGTGCTGAACAAGATGGCATTAAAAATAAATAATCACAGAACATTAAAAAGAAAGATAAAAATATAAAATCCCTCAGTTGTATGCACAGCTAAACAGCACCGTTTTTAACTTGGTTTTAAACATAGTCAGAGAGGAGGCCTGTCTCACATCTTCAGGAAGAATGTTCCAGATTTTAGCAGCATGAATCTGAAAAGCAGCCTCCCCATGTTTAGTTCTGACTCTGGGCACTACCCACTAAACATCCGACGTCCACTCAACCTCCAGATCACGTCAATATCGCGTCGGTCGGTCGTGACCTTTTATTTACGTCCAAACGACGTCTGTGCAAGGTGCGCATCTGGACGTAAAACAATGACCTCCCATATACGTGGATATGACGTTCAATCCCGACCTCCCCTAGACGTCGAAAACAGGTCATCGGCCGACCGACGCAGTACGTCTTGATCTAGCAATACAATATATAGGCTGTGAAGCAATCTCAGTGTACCTGACGGTAGTGTAGTGGTTAAGCAAACGTGTGCAGTCTTGGTTACGTGGGTTCGAGCCCACATGGGTGTATTATTATCTTTATATATTTGTTTTGATTTTTAACGAACAATTTTTTCCTGTTTGGTTAAAGACTAATAAACACTCAACATAGGATTACGTAGTGGCTAATAATAAAACTTGTGAATGTATGCATTTGTTGTGCTAACAATCTCAAGTTTGCAAATAAGGGGTGAGCACTTGAGATTTTATGCAAATGCATGGGTTCACAAGTTTTATTATTAGCCACTACATAATCTTATGTTGAGTGTTTATTCGTTTTTAACCAAACAGAAAAATTGTTCGCTAAAAAGTGAAAAGTCAAAAGTTTTCCAACGGGGATTTGAACCCGCGTCGTTGCGACTGAAGTCTCATTACGCAACCGCTACACCACGGCCAGGCATTTTCTCTGACTACTGTGAAAAAATAATAGATAACACCCTAAACAACCGACGCACACTTATGCGCCGCGCGAGTATAACTTATAACTTTACAGCCTGACATGTGAGTCGCTCGGTCGAGGACCTGTTTTCCACGTCTAAACGACGTAAGGTGTGCATCTGGACGTAAAGCAATGTCTTCCCAGACGTTGATATGACGTTGAATCTGTACCTCTGTCGCTGCCCTGCTTTATTTACTTGGAATCACCCTCTCTAGTAAGTACACAGTCTGCACAGTTTTTAGATATAGATGTATCATTTCCACATTGAAAAGAGTTGGAGACAGAAAGTAAGTTGTTTTCTCACGTATACGTGGATTTTGTTAAGTATATTTTGTATATTATCTGTATTTTGAATTGCCAGTGCATGAATCTATAAATAATAACGGCTGGCACTGCTCAGCTGAAAGGGAGACACCTTTTTTTAGTTTTTAAGTTAAAGTTTAAAATATGATATTGTTTTTCATATTTCAAACTATTTTTAACACATTAGAATTCTTAGGTTAGACTGTCCAACAAAGTATGTGTTAAAAAAGGTTAAGATTCTTGAGTTTTAAAATAATAATTCAATTCTAAAATGTAAAGTTACTGTATATTTCACAATGGTTTATAAACTGCAAAAAGACAACAGTACTTAGTAAACTAAGTTTAAAAACAGGGAGATCAGCTTTACTATTTGGGACACTCCCATCATTTAGACACCTGTGATGTCATCAGTTGGAGTTGAGTTCAGGTGTGGGACCATGTGGGACCATGTGGGACCATAGGAGCACACAGATGTTACCTGCTGCAGAAAGAGAGTTTAATGTTCATGTATTGCTTTGTTTAATAAATTGATTTAATGTCTTCCCAGGTCTTCAATGTCGGAGACTTTCACTTCTTCTCACTGTGGCTGTTTAAATGAGCCACTACAGTTGTTATTTTTGTTATTGTTAGCAGCAAATATTAAATATCCATTCATCTGCTGGTAGCAAGCTAACTAGCGCTTGCAACTCTATTCAATTTCTTACTTTTTCTTATAAACTTTAAAACCAGCCATATGTTAATTAAAATACATTTACCTTTGCTAATGCAGTCAATTATTGTGAAATCCATAGAGTATAATTTCATGATTGTTGCAATAACTAATGTTCTGTGTGTATTCCTAATGTGTCATGTGTGTTTGAGTCTTACAGGTGTCAGACTGTGTTGAAGGTGTTCAAAGGTAAGAATCACACTCTCACACATTGATTGTTGTTCTGTATTAATATGTTGTTTTTAGAATAAACCATTATTTGGTGTATTCTCTTTGAAAACATCTATCTTTTTCTCAGATTGTTCAGCAACTCACTCAAGATGAGGGAAAAGAGCAACAAGGGGAAAATGCCCCCTCGGAAATGCAACATGTAGAGTAATACAGGGTAAGTAGCTTTCAGGGCTCATTTGTGTCCATGTGCAAAACAAATGCACATTTGCAATTGTTTTTTACATGGAATTACTCCAATGACCAAAGCCTTATCCCAAGTTTCTCAGACGGAGTGTCTTCCAGTGTCTCGAGCTAGTGCAGTGCCAAGGTTTGTATCACATGGTGATGGATCGAGTGGTTTGAGGCATTAATAGAAAGTTATGTGTTGTTATATCACTTTGCCACATTATGTTGAAACTAAACATGTTCCACATTTTCAGGTGCTGTGCTTGGACCTTATGAGACTGAAGACCAAGAGAGGACACATGTTGGAACCTCAACATTCAATAAATGCATTCTTCTGCCTTTCAGATTGTGTTTTTACATCTGGGGAACCTAGAGTGTAGCTTGTGCCTGTTTTAATACTGATCCAAACATAGGCGCTACAATCATGTTTTTTTACTTTGGCATGAACTGTTCAGTACAGTAGTGCTCATAACACTGTGCCCTGTGTGGATTAACTTGTACTTTGATGTTGAGAAACATGATTTTTAATGCAGCTCCATTTGCAATAATGACTGATATCCTTCTACTACAGTTGTTCTAATGATTTTTGAATGCTGTGTTTATCGTTTATTGCCCAGAGTCAGAACTAAACATGATAAAGCTGCATTTCAGATTCACAAGGCTAAAATCTGGAACGGTCTTCCTGGAAATGTGAGACAGGCTTCTTCTTTGACAATGTTAAAATCCAGGTTTAAAACACTTCTGTTTCTGCTTCAACTGAGAGATTTTATGAGAGATTTTATTTGTTTCTTTTTAATTTACAGTCAATATTTATAATTGTAATGCCTTGTTTGATTGTTTCTATCTTTTGTTCAGTGCTTTGAGTTTCCTTTTGTTTTGACTGTGCTATACAAATAAACTTGCCTTGCCTATTGCAAAAAGTATGTCTCGACCAGTGAGTGATTCTGCAGAGGTCAATAGGACTGTAAAAGGACGTCATATAAACGTCAATATTTTGGTCATATAAGACGTCGAGAGGACGTCGGACCCGACCGGTTCTGTACCACATTGCAACCTTGAATGAAGTGGCCGCGATGTCATTTGAACGTCCAGATAACGTCCAGATGACGTTGAAATGACATAGTTTTGACATCTGCTTGCTTAGTAGGAACAACGGAAAACGAACGTCATATGAAGGCAATATTTTGGTCATATAAGACGTCGAGAGGACGTCGGACCCGACCGGTTCTGTACCACATTGCAACCTTGAATGAACGTCCAGATGACGTTGAAATGACATAGTTTTGACATCTGCTTGCTTAGTGGGAACGACTGAAAACGAACGTCATATAAACGTCAATATTTTGGTCATATGAGACGTTGATAGGACGTCAGACCCGACCGGTTCCGTACCACATTCAAACCTTGAATTGACGTGCCATCAACGTAACATTTGGAGGTTGAAGTGACGTCGGGAAACGACGTCGAGAAAACTTTCATTCTGCACCCACCAGTGACCTCTATTCTACGTCGGACAACGACGTTCAAATTACGTTGATTCAACGTCGGCTTGCTTAGTGGGTAACAGGAGTCCAGTCCCTGTGCTCCTCAGAGTCCCAGCAGGAGTCCAGTCCCTGTGCTCCTCAGAGTCCCAGCAGGAGTCCAGTCCCTGTGCTCCTCAGAGTCCGGGCTGGTTCATATGGGACTAACATGTCACTAATATATTTTGGTGCGAGGCCATGGAGAGACTTGTACACAAGCAGAGCTGTTTTAAAGTCTATTCTCTGAGCCACAGGAAGCCAGTGCAGAGACCTGAGGACTGGACTAATGTGGTCGTACTTCCTGGTTCTAGTCAGGACTCGAGCTGCTGCATTTTGAATGTACTGCAGCTGTTTTACAGCCTGTTTGGACAGACCTGTGAGCAGGCCATTGCAGTAGTCTAACCTACTGGAGACAAATGCATGGATAAGAATCTCCAAGTCTGCTTTAGACACTATGTTTTTGATCCTGGAAATATTTTTTAGATGGTAAAAAGCTGCTGATGTTACTGATTTGATGTGGCTATTAAAATTTAAGTCTGAGTCCAGTATTACCCCTAGATTTCTGACCTTGTTTGAAGGTTTTAGGGAGAGAGACTGTAGATGACAGATGACGCTCTCTCTTTGTTTCTGGGGACCAAAGACAATCATTTCAGTTTTGTCTGCGTTTAGCTGAAGGAAGTTGTTTTGCATCCACTCACTGATCTGTTGGATACAGTGAAGGAGTGAGTCCACTGGTCCATGTTCTCCTGCAGTCAGTGAGACATAGATCTGAGTGTCGTCTGCATAGTTATGATAGGAAACTTCGTTTCTGCGTATTAACTGACCTAACGGCAGCATGTAGAGATTGAAAAGAAGAGGTCCCAGGATCGACCCCTGTGGTACTCCACAGGTCAGGGCTATATGATCTGAGACACAGTTTCCAATCTCCACAAAGTACTTCCTGTCTTCAAGGTAAGACCTAAACCAACTTAGGGCGGTGCCAGCGACGCCAACCCAGTCCTCTAGTCTCTGTAAGAGGATCTCATGGTCGACAGTGTCAAAGGCAGCACTCAGATCTAACAGGATTAGGATTGAGACTTTGCCTGCGTCAGTGTTTAGCCGGATATCGTTTGTAACCTTGACGAGAGCAGTCTCAGTGCTGTGGTGGGGTCTAAAGCCGGACTGAAACATATCAAATGAGTTGTTGATTATAAGAAATCTATTTAGCTGTTGGTAGACAACTTTTTCAAGGACTTTCCCCATAAATGGCAGATTTGAGATGGGACGGTAGTTGTTAAGTACCGTAGCATCCAGACTGCTCTTTTTAAACAGGGGCCTGATGACTGCAGTTTTCAGGGCCTTTGGGAATATTCCAGAATGAAGGGACATGTTTACTATCTGTGTGAGTGAAGGTAACAGACTGCTCAGAACAGACTTTAGAAATCTAGTGGGTAGTACATCCAGGCTACATGTGGAGGCGCTCAGACTGGAGATTATCTCTTGGACAGTTTGATCATTTACAGGTGCAAAGTAAGTTAGCTCAAAGAGCCTTTTAGGCTGTTGGATGGTTATCTGTGGATTGGAGACAATGGCGTTTTTGATGCCTTGAACCTTGTCATTGAAAAAATGTGCAAACTCATTACATTTACGTTTGGAAGTTAGCTCTAATGGCATCTGAACAGGGGGGTTTGTTAATCTATTAACTGTTGAAAACAGAACACGCAGATTGTTACTGCAGCCTTCAATCATTTCAGAAAAATACCTTTCTCTCGTACTACGTAGCACCTGGTTAAACTCGCACAACTTATCTTTGAAGATCTCGTAATCAACCTGGAGGTTGGACTTGCGCCACTTCCGCTCGGCCCTCCGGCACTCTCTCTTTTGTGCCCTGACCGAGTCTGCTTTAGCCCACGGCGCCTTCTGCTTATTTTTCACTATTTTAACCTTCACAGGAGCGATGGTGTCCAGAACATTCAAAACACTAGAGGTGACAGAGTTAAACAGTTCATCTACAGTAGAATATGATGCATTCTCAAAGTTTATCATTCCCATAAATAGTTCCCCCGTATTTTCATTTATGTGTCTTCTTCGTACAGTTGCAGAGTCCACTGGTGGTTTGTTAGTGAAACACATGTCAAAAAATACACAAAAATGATCCGAAAGCGCAACATCGACCACGTTTACATTTGAAATATTCACCCCCTTAGTAACTAACAGGTCTAGAGTGTGCCCTCTGCTGTGGGTGGGGCAACTCACATGCTGAGTGAGACCAAAAGATTCAAGAACAGAACTCAGCTCTTTTGCCTTTCTGTCCATAACATTATCCACATGAATATTAAAATCCCCTGTAATAACTAAGCTATCAAAATCTGTGCATAAAACAAAGCAACTCCGTAAAATTATCAATAAATCTGTGACATGACTGCGGTGGCTTGTATAGGACAATGAAGAGTATTGGACGAGATTGTTTTTGTTGTATTTTAAAAGACACATATTCAAAAGACGGAAACTTCCCAAGAGACATTCTCAGGGAGACAAAGTGGTCTCTGAAAATGGCAGCTAAGCCTCCTCCTTTTTTGTTTCCCCGTATTTCAGATTCAAATTTGAAATTTGGTGGTGATGCTTCTATTAAAACTGCATTTTCTGTATTTTGGTCAAGCCATGTTTCAGCCATGAACATAAGATCTAGATTATAAGAACAAATAAAATTATTGATTAAAAAAGACTTGTTACAAAGAGATCTGACATTTAGCATCGCAAGTTTCAAAGTTTCAGTATCAGCGGTTGTGGTCGGCTGATTCTTACACGGAACAAGAATTAGATTTTCCTGATTAGACTGATTAACTTCAGATGTTTTTCTGTAATGTATTCTTTGTGTTATCACTAAAGGAATGGCACAGGTGGCTTCATGACAGGGCCCCAGCTGGGTCTCTCCTCTAACTAGACTGCCAGTGGCTGCGAAGCAGAGACCCTGTGCATCCTAGTGTTTAGAAAAAAGAGGGGAAGGGGAAGGTGGGGGAAGAGGATGGAGAGGCAGGTGGTTCTTGGGAGTTGGACGGGGGGGGGGTTGAAGGTGGATGGGTTTTTGGTGATGGGTTAGGGGATTATTATAAGGCGCACCTTACTATAAGGCGTACCTGATTATAAGGCACACCTGATTATAAGGCGCACCTGATTATAAGGTGCACCTGATTTTAAGGCGCACCTGATTATAAAGCGCACCTGATTATAAAACGTACCTGATTATAAGGCGCACCTGATTATAAGGCGCACCTGATTATAAGGCGCACCTGATTATAAGGCGCACCTGATTATAAGGCGCACCTGATTATAAAGCGTACCTGATTTTAAGGCGCACCTGATTATAGGGCGCACCTGATTATGAAGCGCACCTGATTATAAGGCGCACCTGATTATAAAGCGTACCTGATTATAAAGCGTACCTGATTATAAAGCGTACCTGATTATAAGGCGCACCTGATTATAAGGCACACCTGATTATAAAGCGTACCTGATTATAAGGCGCACCTGATTTTAAGGCGCACCTGATTATAAAGCGTACCTGATTATAAGGCGCACCTGATTATAAGGCACACCTGATTATAAGGCGCACCTGATTATAAAGCGTACCTGATTATAAAGCGTACCTGATTATAAGGCACACCTGATTATAAAGCGTACCTGATTATAAGGCGCACCTGATTATAAGGCGCACCTGATTATAAGGCGCACCTGATTATAAGGCGCAACTGATTATAAGGCGCATTGTCAAATTATGCCTTTATTTTCATATATAAGGTGCATTGGATTATAAGGTGAATGGTTGAAATTAATGGCTTTTATGTGCGCCTAATAGTGCGAAAAACACGGTATATAAACTTCTGGCTATACCTGTGTTTAGAGCTTGGAAACAGGCTTAGAAGCACAAGGATCACGATAAACGTAAAAAAACAGACTAATAAGAGCTTAAACATTGTTAGAATTTTGAGTGCTATATCTGCTAAGTTTTTGGACCAATGGGATCTTAAGTGCGAATGTGTACATTTATTAATATTTAGTTTTCTGTTTTCCCTCAAATTTGAATCCACAGAGTGCACTTTGACCATGATCCCCGCTTCATAACAAACATCCAAAAACAGACTTGTAATTATTATCTGAAAAATCTCACATAGATATTATTGTAAACCCTGCAACCCTCGTGCATGTTATTTAGACCGGTGCAAATAAAAAAACCACGCTCTACTGACTCCCTTCAGACCGGACACAGTGAGTTACCCTTATGAAAAGAAACAGGGCAGGACTCATGCAGTGACCCCTCCTGCGGCTGTATAAGTACACACAGCTGCTCACTGCTTACACAACTCATGAACGAAACAACGTCCGGAAATAGATTTAGAGAAAACCGTTTCGTTTCATTTCATGGATTGCGATTTAGAATAGGTTTCGTCCATGCTGGTATTTCAGTCTGAGAGCAGGTGCTGATATACAACTCTATGGGAGAGAAGCGGGACCAAATGTTTTCCCAGATAATTATTTGATAGCAATTAGATTCACAAATCCACCATTTTATTCTTTTATCTGAATGTCCTTCATACACATGTTTTTTTTTTAAATATTGTCACCACTTCTTGACACCTTTATGAGAAACTACCTTGACCAAAGTTTATATATGTGCCCCAGAAATGAGGAAAAAAGTGGGTCAAGAATTCAAACTATTGGCAATTACCATAGTTAGCAGGATTTTCTTGTTTCAGCTTCTCTTCACCACATTGTTAGACTAAAACCTCTTTGGAATTTTGTGATGTCACGTGAACAAGCGATGGTGCTGATCCATCTCGTCTCGACTTGTACAGACTTATGCTTATAGTAGAAAATTAAAATGATTGATGCCAAAATCTCGTACAAAACTTACGGAATGTAAAAGTGATCTGTACAAAACATCTCTCTTCCCATTGCTGGACTCCTCCATTCTCCGACGGATGAAAAAACCTCCCAGTTTACGGATCAGGGTGCTGAAGGTAAAGGACAGAACGTAACTACATGTGATCTTGGCCGAGTGATCGTACTGTATTTGAAAAGGCCGCACGGTTCAAAGTACAGTAGTCCCTCGTTTATCGCGGGGGTTGGAGTCTAAAAATAACCCGCAATAAGCAAAATCATTGAAGTAGCAGGTCTATATGTTTCAAGGCTGTAAAAACCCCTCAACAGGAAGGTCTGAGCGCTGCTGCAGCTGTCAAAAGCCACGCATAGACTTTAAAACACAGCTGCAGAGGACACTGAGGAGCAGGACTGAGGGCTACAGGAAGACCACAGTAGTCTTCTGAACTAGTAAGTAAGTAATGTGTTTTTATATACCGCATTTTACAGACCAAGGTCACTTAAAGCACTTTACAATGTGCAGAGTTCAAATATTCTCTCATTCTCTCCACACGGTGATGACGGTAAAAAAATGTAAAGTGTTTTTTACCTGAGGATGGGCATGCTCAGGTTGTTGCCGGCGGCGATGTGGGGAGCCTTGATGTTGTGACAGAACAGGATCAGCGTGATGAGCAGATAGTCGATGTGGGACTTATGCACCGGGAGGAAGACCATGGGCACGTTCTGCTGCAGGGGCCAAATATCAACTTTAGATTCACACAAACTAAATCGCTTTAAAGTAGCAATAGGTAAGATTTGCATGTCAAGTCATCATTAAAGGGCCCTAATCTGTCATCATTAAAGGGCCCTAATCTGTCATAAATAAAGGGCCCTAATCTGTCATCATTAAAGGGCCCTAATCTGTCATAATTAAAGGGCCCTAATCTGATATCATTAAAGGGCTCTAATCTGTCGTCATTAAAGGGCCCTAATCTGTCATCATTAAAGGGCCCTAATCTGATATCATTAAAGGGCCCTAATCTGTCATCATTAAAGGGCCCTAATCTGTCATCATTAAAGGGCCCTAATCTGTCATAATAATAAACTGCTCTTTTCCAATATTTCTTTAACTGATAACAGTAGTTCAGAGATATTTCAATTTCTAAAATTAGTTTTCAAGTCCCTAAATCTTGTTATTGTTTTCATTTCTATGTCCCGCCCTCCACCGTTTCACCAATCAGAAAGTCTGTGATCCGGGCGCCAGAACTCACCCTATCAAGCTAATCTCACTGGTAAAGGACCATGTGGCGCAGAACTAAAAAAGGTCTCGTTTTGATTCTCAAATCATTAACGACAAAACAAGGAATAAAACCAGGATTTCTATCTTTGTGAAAAAGTTGTTGGTTATAGATTTGTTGTTCTCTCTTGTCTATTCAGCTGTTATGGTCCCAGCTGGATTCGTCTGCATATCTGGCAACCTGAGTCAGGGAGAGTGGGAGAGGCTGCAGTACCACTTTTGGCCAGATTCTTACATACTGCTCCTATAAGTTTATTAAAAAAACACGACAAAAGATGGCGACCTCTGAAGCAGCTTTCTTGACCATTTCCAGCTGGCCCTTGTGGATCTGGATGCTCCAAAAGAAACCGTTGAAGAGCCGCAGTAGCACCCATCCCGTCAGCCTGCAGTATTGCATTACACATTCAGGATTAGGTTTGGATCAAATCTGTGTCTGGAACGTTGGGAAATGTGTGAAAAATACCTGATGAAGGCGGGTGAAACGTTGGCGACCATCTCCTGCAGGAAAGAGCGGGCTTTCTGCTTCACTTTCCCGGCGGCTCCAGACAAGCTAGCGGCGTCCATCTCTGAGGCTACCTCCGAGATCGCACTCTCCACTCTGACCCCAGGGAAACACAGAAAGACACAATAGGAACAGATCTATACAAATCCCTTTCGTTCACCAATTTCTACTGATTTTTTCATGAGATCATCCGTCGTACTTTTTATAGCGCTGAGGTTTTCCCACAAACACAGAGAGAGACGACAGCTATATTTAACATTGTCCTCCAGCGACGACCTCCATTTGCATAATTACAGTTATGCGCACAATTTGCATGTAATTTGACTCTAATGAATGAGGCAGAACCAAGATTAAAAAAGGAGACACCCACATTAAAAGAGTTTTTCTAGTTTTTCTGCAGGTTTCTCCTCATGTGGACCAGAAAACTTGATCCTGAAAACTACTTTGGATGAGGGATTACATGTTGATGTCTATTATGTGCAGAGAGCGCTACGGTTTAAGGCTATTGAACTTATCTAGAGCAACTTTCTGAGGCGAGTGGCAAACAATATAGATAGACATGACAAGGAAACTGCTAAAAACCACTGCGGGTGAGTTACTTTGGGAGTTTATCAGTGAACTTTTGGATTTCTTGCTTTCTCATAGATCGGGCTTGTCAAACCATAGACTGTGAATATTAAAACTCAAACTAAATATTGTCAAACTCAGGCTTGTGGGTCAAATCCAGCCGGCAAGACATGTTATATATAATTTATTTTCTCAGGAACACAACCAAATGTATTCTAACATTTTAACCCAACACATCATCAGAATCATGGTAGATAAATATAAATGTGTGAAACTTTATATCTGGTTCAGTTTTGGATAAATCTAAACAATAAACACATTTTGTTTTCAGAAAAATCAACCAGTCATGTCAAAATACCTTCATAATAACAATAACAATGATGAGAAAAAGTAACTCTTCTATTGATTCGGGCCCGACCAGTTCAGATTTTTTTACACTACTGTTTACACATGTCCTCCACTTGCTGCTGTTTATCTGTTAGCCTCAACTGAAGACGGAGGTATTAAAGGGCTCTGTGTATATTTGGAGTCCCCCATATAAATCTATTTAAATCTGTATGAATGAGTGCAGTAAACACAGACACACACAACCCTCCGACCGTGATATGCATGTGGGAAGCATGTGGGAAGCATGTGGGAAGCATGTGGGAAGCATGTGGGAAGCATGTGGGAAGCATGTGAGAAGCATGTGGGAAGCATGTGAGAAGCATGTGAGAAGCATGTGAGAAGCATGTGGGAAGCATGTGGGAAGCATGTGAGAAGCATGTGGGAAGCATGTGAGAAGCATGTGGGAAGCATGTGGGAAGCATGTGGGAAGCATGTGGGAAGCATGTGGGAAGCATGTGGGAAGCATGTGAGAAGCATGTGAGAAGCATGTGAGAAGCATGTGGGAAGCATGTGAGAAGCATGTGGGAAGCATGTGGGAAGCATGTGAGAAGCATGTGGGAAGCATGTGAGAAGCTTGTGGGAAGCATGTGAGAAGCATGTTAGAAGCATGTGGGAAGCATGTGAGAAGCATGTGGGAAGCATGTGGGAAGCATGTGAGAAGCATGTGGGAAGCATGTGAGACGCATGTGAGAAGCATGTGGGAAGCATGTGAGAAGCATGTGAGAAGCATGTGAGAAGCATGTGGGAAGCATGTGAGAAGCATGTGGGAAGCATGTGGGAAGCATGTGGGAAGCATGTGGGAAGCATGTTAGAAGCATGTGGGAAGCATGTGAGAAGCATGTGGGAAGCATGTGAGAAGCATGTAGGAAGCATTTGGGAAGCATGTGGGAAGCATGTGAGAAGCATGTGAGAAGCATGTGGGAAGCATGTGGGAAGCATGTGGGAAGCATGTGAGAAGCATGTGGGAAGCATGTGGGAAGCATGTGGGAAGCATGTGAGAAGCATGTGAGAAGCATGTGGGAAGCATGTGGGAAGCATGTGGGAAGCATGTGGGAAGCATGTGGGAAGCATGTGGGAAGCATGTGAGAAGCACATGAGAAGCATGTGGGAAGCATGTGGGAAGCATGTGGGAAGCATGTGAGAAGCATGTGGGAAGCATGTGGGAAGCATGTGGGAAGCATGTGGGAAGCATGTGGGAAGCATGTGGGAAGCATGTGGGAAGCATGTGGGAAGCATGTGAGAAGCATGTGGGAAGCATGTGAGAAGCATGTGGGAAGCATGTGAGAAGCATGTGGGAAGCATGTGGGAAGCATGTAAGAAGCATGTGAGAAGCATGTGGGAAGCATGTGGGAAGCATGTGAGAAGCACGTGAGAAGCACGTGGGAAGCAAGTGGGAAGCATGTGGGAAGCATGTGAGAAGCATGTGAGAAGCATGTGGGAAGCATGTGGGAAGCATGTGGGAAGCATGTGGGAAGCATGTGGGAAGCATGTGGGAAGCATGTGAGAAGCATGTGGGAAGCATGTGGGAAGCATGTGAGAAGCATGTGAGAAGCATGTGGGAAGCATGTGGGAAGCATGTGGGAAGCATGTGAGAAGCATGTGGGAAGCATGTGGGAAGCATGTGGGAAGCATGTGGGAAGCATGTGGGAAGCATGTGGGAAGCATGTGAGAAGCATGTGGGAAGCATGTGAGAAGCATGTGGGAAGCATGTGAGAAGCATGTGGGAAGCATGTGGGAAGCATGTGAGAAGCATGTGAGAAGCATGTGGGAAGCATGTGGGAAGCATGTGGGAAGCATGTGAGAAGCACGTGAGAAGCACGTGGGAAGCATGTGGGAAGCATGTGGGAAGCATGTGAGAAGCATGTGAGAAGCATGTGGGAAGCATGTGGGAAGCATGTGGGAAGCATGTGGGAAGCATGTGGGAAGCATGTGAGAAGCATGTGGGAAGCATGTGGGAAGCATGTGAGAAGCATGTGAGAAGCATGTGGGAAGCATGTGGGAAGCATGTGGGAAGCATGTGAGAAGCATGTGGGAAGCATGTGGGAAGCATGTGAGACGCATGTGAGAAGCATGTGGGAAGCATGTGAGAAGCATGTGAGAAGCATGTGAGAAGCATGTGGGAAGCATGTGAGAAGCATGTGGGAAGCATGTGGGAAGCATGTGGGAAGCATGTGGGAAGCATGTGGGAAGCATGTTAGAAGCATGTGGGAAGCATGTGAGAAGCATGTGGGAAGCATGTGAGAAGCATGTAGGAAGCATTTGGGAAGCATTTGGGAAGCATGTGGGAAGCATGTGAGAAGCATGTGAGAAGCATGTGGGAAGCATGTGGGAAGCATGTGAGAAGCATGTGGGAAGCATGTGGGAAGCATGTGGGAAGCATGTGAGAAGCATGTGAGAAGCATGTGGGAAGCATGTGGGAAGCATGTGGGAAGCATGTGGGAAGCATGTGAGAAGCACGTGAGAAGCATGTGGGAAGCATGTGGGAAGCATGTGGGAAGCATGTGAGAAGCATGTGGGAAGCATGTGGGAAGCATGTGGGAAGCATGTGGGAAGCATGTGGGAAGCATGTGGGAAGCATGTGGGAAGCATGTGGGAAGCATGTGAGAAGCATGTGGGAAGCATGTGAGAAGCATGTGGGAAGCATGTGAGAAGCATGTGGGAAGCATGTGGGAAGCATGTGAGAAGCATGTGAGAAGCATGTGGGAAGCATGTGGGAAGCATGTGGGAAGCATGTGAGAAGCACGTGAGAAGCACGTGGGAAGCATGTGGGAAGCATGTGGGAAGCATGTGAGAAGCATGTGAGAAGCATGTGGGAAGCATGTGGGAAGCATGTGGGAAGCATGTGGGAAGCATGTGGGAAGCATGTGAGAAGCATGTGGGAAGCATGTGGGAAGCATGTGAGAAGCATGTGAGAAGCATGTGGGAAGCATGTGGGAAGCATGTGGGAAGCATGTGAGAAGCATGTGGGAAGCATGTGGGAAGCATGTGGGAAGCATGTGGGAAGCATGTGGGAAGCATGTGGGAAGCATGTGAGAAGCATGTGGGAAGCATGTGAGAAGCATGTGGGAAGCATGTGAGAAGCATGTGGGAAGCATGTGAGAAGCATGTGAGAAGCATGTGAGAAGCATGTGGGAAGCATGTGGGAAGCATGTGAGAAGCATGTGAGAAGCATGTGGGAAGCATGTGGGAAGCATGTGGGAAGCATGTGAGAAGCATGTGGGAAGCATGTGGGAAGCATGTGGGAAGCATGTGGGAAGCATGTGGGAAGCATGTGAGAAGCATGTGGGAAGCATGTGAGAAGCATGTGGGAAGCATGTGAGAAGCATGTGGGAAGCATGTGGGAAGCATGTGAGAAGCATGTGAGAAGCATGTGGGAAGCATGTGGGAAGCATGTGGAAAGCATGTGAGAAGCACGTGAGAAGCACGTGGGAAGCATGTGGGAAGCATGTGGGAAGCATGTGAGAAGCATGTGAGAAGCATGTGGGAAGCATGTGGGAAGCATGTGGGAAGCATGTGGGAAGCATGTGGGAAGCATGTGGGAAGCATGTGAGAAGCATGTGGGAAGCATGTGGGAAGCATGTGAGAAGCATGTGAGAAGCATGTGGGAAGCATGTGGGAAGCATGTGGGAAGCATGTGAGAAGCATGTGGGAAGCATGTGGGAAGCATGTGGGAAGCATGTGGGAAGCATGTGGGAAGCATGTGGGAAGCATGTGGGAAGCATGTGAGAAGCATGTGAGAAGCATGTGGGAAGCATGTGTGAAGCATGTAAAGCCTCTGTCGGACATGTATTGTGTTACAAAGGCACGCACCTGCTGTTGTTGAGCACATTGTCCACCACATTTCGGGGGAACATGTCCTTATTCACGTCCCTCTCCATGACAAACAGCACATAGCTGAGGCGGCGAGCGAGCCAGCCCCTCTGCCTGCAGCAAACACACGGGTTACATGATGTGAGTGTAGCGTCTGTATCATAACGCCAAAAAAAGAATGGAGCCGTCTTGTTTGGTCTGGGCTCTTGTAATCAGTAACCGGTGTCTTCTGACAAACACTTTTGAATAATTCAGCCGTCTCAGCTTTCCACTGATCTACTGCCATTTATTATACACAGGCGGCTGAGTGGACTTGTTCCTTCAGGCGCCTAAAGGAGCGACTGGACTGTGTCGTTTCACAGCTGTCAGAAGCAGAGGTGTGTGAGACAAGTGGCAAACAGGAACTTGGAAAATCTATAAAGATAGGTTTGAGAGAGCCCTGTGTTTACGGAAGCAGAGACTGAATAAATACGTTTAGATCTGGACAATAACACAAAAATACAGCAACAAAGCAATGAGGATCTAACACCAATGTTGTCAGATTCAGATTCAGACGACTTTATTCATCCCACCCGGGGCAATTCCTTTGGGAAGCACATAAAAATAAATAAAATAATAATAAATAACATAAAAACAGAGGAAATAAGCGATATGACGGTTTCTACTCATTCAGTAGCTCCACATTCATATCCAACCCCCTTTATAGATAGAGCACATTTTATAAAACATGTTTCCAAAGTGCCGCACAGATAAAAGTAGCACATTAAAATAACCGTAAAACAATAAAATAAATATTGTTTATACACCACATTCATATTGTCTGCTCTCAAACATAGCCTGTATATAAGAGTGCTGACCCCTCTCGCTCAATGAAGCTCTAAAGGGAAGTGCTCATGGACAAAGTTTGGCTCCAACTCGCTCTGGCTCTGACTCACACTGAAAAGTTAAATGACCCTTTGTGTCAACATTTTTGGGCATTTTTGAGTTTATATTTTGGTATTTGTGAGCCATATAGGAATTGACCAATCAGATGCCTCGCCTTAGCAACCAGCTTAGCAACACATCTGCACCCTGTTATTGGCCGCTAACTCTACGGGTGACGGTACTCAGTCCACTCCCCAGCTACAGTCAATGGTCTCAGAATATGTAAAAAAGAATATCTACTTCCTGTAACCAAAGACAGCTATGCTAACAGTGCTATGCTAACAGCTAACAGTCAGCTCTGGCCTGTGTACCTGGTGTGCGTCTCATTGATGTAGATGACGTTCCGCAGCCCCAGAGAAGGAATGCTGGAGTTGAAGAGTCGCTCCTGGAACATAGAGAGAACACACTGGGGTCAAAGCTGGATCTGGTTTAGTCTAGGTCTGGTTTCGTGCGCAGTGGATCGCTGTAAAGTGCGTTGCTAAGAGAGTCTAGTTGTTTGCTATTTGACCGAGACCAAGGATATTGTAAATGAATAAATATTGGCTCGCTGTTTAAGCTGAAAGACAGATGAAAATGAGTTGTAATGAGTGAGTATTGGTCTGTTGTTGAGGGGCTGATGTTTTTCCTCAGTTCTCCAAGCCAGGGATGAACATGAGGTTTTGGGTTAAAATCACTGTTTCCCAAACGTTTTACCCTTTTTTTTGTAAGTAGTAGTAATCTTTATTTATATACCGCCTTTTCACTGCAGATCTGAGTCTCAAAGCGGTTTACAATTGTTATTTTTGGGCATTTGTCTCTCACTCCACAAAGAGATAGGAGCGGGGCCAGTACAGGAGGCGCATGATAGAACTATTGGACATATTTTTAGTGGTAGGGGAAACCGGAGTACCCGGAGGAAACCTACGCAGACACGGGGAGAACATACAAACTCCACTCAGAAAGGCCCTGGTCCGACCGGGATTTGAACCCAGGACCTTCTTGCTGAGAGGCGAGAGTGCTATCCACTCAGCCACCGTGCCGCTCACCTCAAAAGCATAAACAGGCCACGAGTACCTCTGGGTAATGGAAAAATCTAAAAAGCACATTATTGGAGGCTGAAACTTTTATTTTTGGGTTTGGTTTTCAGCTCATCTTTTGTTAGTTTTCATCACATTATGTGGGTATTAAGACAAAATGCAAGAGTTTTCCAAACAAAATGAGCACATGCATGGACTGAACCAAAACTGGACCCAAACTAAGAAATCGGTTTACAATAACAAGCGTTAATACTAAATGCATCATGTGTTTTTCGAGAACAGAAAAATAATGTTTGTGTCTAAGCACAGAAAAACCTTAATCTATCAATGTTTACAAGTTAATATAATAATAATTTAAAGTACACATAAGGCCTGGCTTAGATCACAAAAGGAAAAGTGGACATGGGACAAAAGCTAACATGATGCCAGTCGAGAACATCTCCATGGAGACGACAGACGAGCATGTTTCATTCTGAGTCATGTTCAACAAATATGAAATAATTTCTAAATGAGTAGACACCAATTTCAGTCGTTGATTTGTTGTGATTAATGTATTCACAAGACAATGAGAAAACACCACACACGGGTGTAGGACGATAATGGACGTACAACAGAAGTGAAAAGACCACTCTCTGTTATCACTATCATTTGTCGTCGTCACGGTGATGTGTGACTGTTCCATAGACTGTAAATATTAACGGACGTAGTCACGCCTATCTCCGCCGTTCTAACTAATGTGCCACAACTTCCGTGGTCTATGGGCAGTTTCAAAATGTCCGAGGGGGCTGGAAAATGTGAAAAAACGCATCTGCGCATGAGTCAGCTGCACGAGTTCCATTCATTTAAACGAGTGACTTCAAAAGTCCACAGCGACTAAACTAGACTGGTCCAGAACACTCCCTCAGCATTGACACACATGTGAAACAGAGCTTTGGGCCAAGAGCCACTTTTGGACCGTCCTGTAAAGGTGTTTTCGAGAGGTAAGAAGATGCTATATGTTAGCATTGGCTAATTCTTATTCCAAGTCCACCCCCACAGGCCCGGGGTGGTATTGCAGCATGTCAGCATACATCATTTTGGACACTATTGACCCGGGACCCGCACACACTGGACTGTACCCAGCTCTGTGGAGTGCACGAGTGGCAGCAGCGTCCCACAAACGGCCTCTTTCTGTTCAGAAGTCCTTCCTTCCAGGTGCTGGTCACACAACGCAGCACAGAGGGGCTGGTGCTGCGGTCCTGTCACACACACACACACACACACACACACACAGTTAATTCACCATTTACAGTTCAACACCACAAAGACATATTCATACAAAAATGCCCAATGTACACAATAGACAAACAAATATATATATATATATATTTATATATAAAAACAGGCACTTTTTAGGCCTCAAACTGTGGTGAAAACATGTGTTTCAATCAAATCACATATGTTGAATTTTAAAATACATTTTCTGCATAAAATATCTCAATTGGAATAAATAAACAATGTTTTAGGGACTTGGGCTTGAATGTACCATCATAAAAGGTTAGACAAAAAAAGTGTTATCTGTACTTTTACTTGGACCGTTTAGGGGTTTGAGGTGAAAACATAAATACATACACTATTTGAAAGTGCTGAAAATGTGCATAAATAGTGAACACAAATCTACGCCAATGACTTTTAATGCATTAATATAGACTTGGAATGAACCAAACGGGAGAGTGATAATCCAGATACAAACATGAACCTATTCTCTGCACTTCAGAGCATTCCCGGCTCCTGAAAATTATCTGCTTATTAGAGAAAATATTAGAGGAAACTTAATTTGCTTGTGCTTATATATAATAAAAAGACAGAAGTATAAAAAAAATGCATACAATCTGATATTTAAAAGGTATTTTGGAGGATTTTCCCAAATTTTAGAAAAGAACCGCCCTCTCCACTTTTTGAACAAAACTCTCTGGTCTTATTGGACGATCACGTATCACCAGAATGATTGACAGCTGGGAGGACCAATAGACCAATCATCCACCCGGAAGTAGAAAATCCTCCAACATACCCTTAATTTCCAAGTCAAAACATGAGAGTATGAAACAAAGCCGCACAAACCGGGACCACATTTACATCAGAAGAAGAAACGGATTCAAAGAGGTTTCTCACTCCGGGACTGACCGAGTCCTCGTTGGGATGCTTCCAGCGGTTGCACCACTGCTCTCCGCTGTTCACTTGCAGCAGGAGGCCGTCTGACAGCTCCATGACGTCCAGAGAGCAGGCCCCACTAACTGCTCAGCTGAAAACACAAACTCCCACTCATCAGATTCCACACATGAAAAAATGATCCGATTGGTCTCTCGGATTCACATTAGAAAATCACCTTTGAACGGATTTAACTCAGCTGTTTTACAACATATTTTTGAATCATATTTAAGAATATGATTCAAACTCTGGCCTCTCTCTGGTCTCTCTCTGGTCTCTCTCTGGTCTCTCTCTGGTCTCTCTCTGGTCTCTCTCTGGTCTCTCTCGGTCTCTCTCTCTGGTCTCTCTCTGGTCTCTCTCTCTCTCTCTCTGGTCTCTCTCTCTCTCGGTCTCTCTCTGGTCTCTCTCTCTGGTCTCTCTCTCTGGTCTCTCTCTCTGGTCTCTCTCTCTGGTCTCTCTCTCTGGTCTCTCTCTCTGGTCTCTCTCTCTCTCTGGTCTCTCTCTCTGGTCTCTCTCTCTGGTCTCTCTCTCTGGTCTCTCTCTCTGGTCTCTCTCTCTGGTCTCTCTCTCTGGTCTCTCTCTCTGGTCTCTCTCTGGTCTCTCTCTCTTGGTCTCTCTCTGGTCTCTCTCTGGTCTCTCTCTCTGGTCTCTCTCTCTGGTCTCTCTCTCTCTCTTGGTCTCTCTCTCTGGTCTCTCTCTCTGGTCTCTCTCTCTGGTCTCTCTCTCTGGTCTCTCTCTCTGTCTCTCTCTCGGTCTCTCTCTCTGGTCTCTCTCTCTGGTCTCTCTCTCTGGTCTCTCTCTCTGGTCTCTCTCTCTGGTCTCTCTCTCTGGTCTCTCTCTCTCTCTCTCTGGTCTCTCTCTCTGGTCTCTCTCTCTGGTCTCTCTCTCTGGTCTCTCTCTGGTCTCTCTGTCTCTCTCTCTGGTCTCTCTCTCTGGTCTCTCTCTCTGGTCTCTCTCTCTCTGGTCTCTCTCTGGTCTCTCTCTGGTCTCTCTCTGGTCTCTTCTCTCTCGGGTCTCTCTCTCTCGGGTCTCTCTCTCGGGTCTCTCTCTCGGGTCTCTCTCTCGGGTCTCTCTCTCGGGTCTCTCTCTCGGGTCTCTCTCTCTCTGGTCTCTCTCTCTCTCTGGTCTCTCTCTCTGGTCTCTCTCTCTGGTCTCTCTCTCTGGTCTCTCTCTCTGGTCTCTCTCTCTCTGGTCTCTCTCTCTGGTCTCTCTCTCTGGTCTCTCTCTCTCGTCTCTCTCTCCTGGTCTCTCTCTCTGGTCTCTCTCTCTGGTCTCTCTCTCTGGTCTCTCTCTCTGGTCTCTCTCTCTGGTCTCTCTCTCTGGTCTCTCTCTCTGGTCTCTCTCTCTGGTCTCTCTCTCTGGTCTCTCTCTCTCTGGTCTCTCTCTCTGGTCTCTCTCTCTGGTCTCTCTCCTGGTCTCTCTCTCTGGTCTCTCTCTCTGGTCTCTCTCTCTGGTCTCTCTCTCTGGTCTCTCTCTCTGGTCTCTCTCTCTGGTCTCTCTCCCTGGTCTCTCTCCCTGGTCTCTCTCTATGGTCTCTCTCTCTGGTCTCTCTCTGGTCTCTCTCTGGTCTCTCTCTGGTCTCTCTCTGGTCTCTCTCTGGTCTCTCTCTCTGGTCTCTCTCTCTGGTCTCTCTCCCTGGTCTCTCTCTCTGGTCTCTCTCTCTGGTCTCTCTCTGGTCTCTCTCTCTGGTCTCTCTCCCTGGTCTCTCTCTCTGGTCTCTCTCTATGGTCTCTCTCTATGGTCTCTCTCTATGGTCTCTCTTCAGTCTCTCTTCGGTCTCTCTCTCGTCTCTTTAGTGTCTCTTTCTGGTCTATCTCTGGTCTATCTCTGGTCTATCTCTGGTCTATCTCTGGTCTATCTCTGGATTTACTCTGAGATGAGATTTTACACATAATTATTTTAAGGTTACATTGCTTCACCAGTTCTATTTGTTCATTCATTCATTCATTGAGAAATAAGGACAGGACCAAATGATTCATATGATCATTGCTAAACTCGTCAGCCATTATCCTGAGTCATAATCCTGTTACACACTTGATTAACTGAGACCATCACACTTTAGATGAACATAGAGATGCACAAAAGGTTTCATGGAAACTTCACCAACAATTTGAAGAAAATAACTTTTATGAAAACACACACCCACACACCTTAAGATGCACACACGCACACGCACACGCACGCACACACACACACACAGACCTGGCTCAGAGTGAGTAGTGGCCATTATGAATGAAGCACACATTGTCCTGCACTGATGCTGGAGACGCACACTGATGAGGGTTTCCAACGGGGTCAGTGACCGGAAGTACCTCAGTGAAGTGCTCATGGATCATGGATCTGTGATCAACCATTTAAACCTTTGCACTTTCTAATCTCAAGACTATATTGATGCAGACAATGGCGCAATATTGTTGCAACAGTGATGAACCACATTACAACACTACAACACAAAGAGCATCAGTCAACAAGCTGAGGGCAGTAGGTTAATCCTCATGTCTGCACATGTCTGCAGAGGGTCACTCTCTGGTGTCTCTCTCTCTGGCCTGTCTCTGGCCTCTCTCTGGCCTAGGTTAATCCTCAGGCCAGAGAGAGAGACACCAGAGAGAGAGACACCAGAGAGAGAGACACCAGAGAGAAACCAGAGAGAGAGACACCAGAGAGAGAGACCAGAGAGAGAGACCAGAGAGTGACCCTCTGCAGACATGTGCAGACATGAGGATTAACCTACTGCCAGAGGGTCACACAGAGAGAGGGTCACACAGAGAGCGGGTCACACAGAGAGCGGGTCACACAGAGAGCGGGTCACACAGAGAGAGGGTCACACAGAGAGCGGGTCACACAGAGAGCGGGTCACACAGAGAGAGGGTCACACAGAGAGCGGGTCACACAGAGAGCGGGTCACACAGAGAGCGGGTCACACAGAGAGAGGGTCACACAGAGAGCGGGTCACACAGAGAGCGGGTCACACAGAGAGCGGGTCACACAGAGAGAGGGTCACACAGAGAGCGGGTCACACAGAGCGGGTCACACAGAGAGAGGGTCACACAGAGAGCGGGTCACACAGAGAGAGGGTCACACAGAGAGAGGGTCACACAGAGAGAGGGTCACACAGAGAGAGGGTCACACAGAGAGCGGGTCACACAGAGAGAGGGTCACACAGAGAGCGGGTCACACAGAGAGCGGGTCACACAGAGAGAGGGTCACACAGAGAGAGGGTCACACAGAGAGCGGGTCACACAGAGAGCGGGTCACACAGAGAGAGGGTCACACAGAGAGCGGGTCACACAGAGAGCGGGTCACACAGAGAGAGGGTCACACAGAGAGCGGGTCACACAGAGCGGGTCACACAGAGAGAGGGTCACACAGAGAGCGGGTCACACAGAGCGGGTCACACAGAGAGCGGGTCACACAGAGAGAGGGTCACACAGAGAGCGGGTCACACAGAGCGGGTCACACAGAGAGAGGGTCACACAGAGAGCGGGTCACACAGAGAGCGGGTCACACAGAGAGAGGGTCACACAGAGCGGGTCACACAGAGCGGGTCACACAGAGAGCGGGTCACACAGAGAGAGGGTCACACAGAGAGCGGGTCACACAGAGAGCGGGTCACACAGAGCGGGTCACACAGAGAGCGGGTCACACAGAGCGGGTCACACAGAGAGCGGGTCACACAGGAGCCGGTGACAGATGGTCGCTGCAGACAACAATAGCTGACCGTGTTTTGTTCGTCTGAGGATTCTCACTTACAGTATCACTGTAAGAAACCAGTGTGTGGGTTTCTGCCATAAAGTTGTAGAGTCTGCACTGGGAGCACACGAGAAAAACGTGACTATTATTAGTGACACAACGAAGCCCCTGCGGCTGAATGAGGCTGAATGAGGCTGACCTTATGCGCAGGAGGTCTCCTCAAACTCCAATGTCACAGCTCTGTGTAGAGAGATGTCCTTACAGCTCCTGTGTGTGGTTAACCCGGTACCGGCTGACGCTACCACGAACCCTCTCATCTAAACCCGAGTCTGGGACTAGAACTACAGACGGCATTTGACGTCTGTAGCACACAGGCGCACTTAGCATTAGCTTTGCGGCTTGTTTTCTCTCGGGGGGAGATCTCCCTCTTACCTTTGATAAAGCAGAACTCATATCGTAATAATGACAAAGTCCACGTGAACGTCCAGAACCGCAGCTTCACGCACTGGAGCCGCTCGGTCGTGCTCAGGATCAGGAGCCGCACAAGCTCCACCCGCAGCAGCAGTGACAGGACCGAGAGGGGCAGGACTGCAGCTGCCAGCAGGGCCAGCAGGGGGCGCTCTCTCCCACTGTATTAACTGAATGACTGCATATCACGCATGGATAATAATAATAACCGTATCGCCTTCTAGTAGATCTATCCTCTTCTTCCACCAGACATGGGAATGATAAAGGGATTTCAATGTATTTAGTATTTTCTTCAAATGTTTTAATGTTTTCAGTATTTCAACTTTTCAAGGTATTTTATATTGTATTATACGTATGCAGTGATTCACAGTAGCTTCGGTCATTGCACAATTTCTAGGTTGGGACCATAGACTGTGGGACCATGGATATTTGGTTACAGACGGTTGGATATACTGTTGGACCATAGACTGGGACAAAAACAGGTGCAGTCCTGGGGTGTAGTGTGGGGGCGCCATCTAACGGTCATTTGTAACATTACACTCTTGCGGACCGTACTATACCGCTTAATCAAATGGGGGTCAACGATTTGCTTTTCAGGTTGTGAATAGGGTTAAGGTATTTGTGTGCAATTAATTATTTTTCAATACATTAAAATATATATTATGTATGTTAAATAAGTCTATTTAGGTACGTTTTTCTGCGTTTATTAAGATCATATTTAATGGTAGCGCCCCTTTCTGCTTCCTCTGTTTCCGTCTAGCTTCTGGAGCTAGCATCCGCAGCCATGAGGTGAGCTAACTGTGAGAATGTTAACATACTGAGTGTATTCTTGGATTATTCTGTGCAACTATTTTATTTGGTAGGCACAAAACAATACTCCTCTGTTTAGTAGAGGTCACGCTGCAAAATAAACAGAGTTCGGGATATTAGCAGGAGCTGGATCGAGCTGTACCATGATGCAGTTCGGCCTCAAATCCATTAAATTGTCTTTGGTTTTATAATTCGATCATACAGCTGCTGTAGTTAGTTAATCGGTATTGCGATTATTTAGATTTTCAGTAAAGTAACACATTTTTGGTCTCCCGAGTTTCAGCCTATTTATTTGTTGGCCTGAGAACCATCTTACAGTAGGTCTTTATATAGGCCTGGACTTGTCCGAAAGTAACGAACATGTGGAGTAATGGTAGTTAGCACAGCAATTTGAAGAGAAATTAGTGCATTTAAAGTTCACTCTGGTACTGCCATCGATTATTGTAATGTACCAGATATTGAGAAACGCTGATCTAAATTCTATACGTATCAGAAGTATGTGTATTGCCCGTAGACTGTGTATTGCCATGTGAGTCACAAACTAGGAAATAGCTTCGGCTTGCGGTGCAAACAAGTTGAAAAGTAAAATGGAATAAGGCATGTCCTAAAATGCACAACATTTCTGAAAAATTACTTCTCTATAAAAACACACAATAGACATTTATTCTGCCTTTACACTATTTGGGTGGCAAGGTGGCTGAGTGGATAGCACTCTCGTCTGGGTTCCTGGGTTCGAATCCCGGCCGGACCAGGGCCTTTCTGAGTGGAGTTTGCATGTTCTCCCCGTGTCTGCGTAGGTTTCCTCCGGGTACTCCGGTTTCCCCTACCACTAAAAATATGTCCAATAGTTCTGGCATGCGCCTCCTGTACTGGCCCCGCTCCCATCTCTGTGTGGAGTGAGAGACAAATGCCCAAAATTAACAATTGTAAACCGCTTTGAGACTCAGATCTGCAGTGAAAAGGCGGTATATAAAATAAAGATTACTAAAGATTACTTACTTTAAGGCATGTCCTAAAATGCACAACATTTCTGAAAAATTACTATTCTATAAAAACACACAATAGCCATTTATTCTGCCTTTACACTATTTCCTCAAAAACACCCTCACCTCACATCTGTTATTGTTTTGTGTTCAGCATGCTCAGGCTTCAGAAGCGCTTGGCTTCCAGCGTCCTTCGCTGTGGCAAAAAGAAGGTCTGGTTGGATCCAAATGAGACCAATGAGATTGCCAACGCAAACTCTCGTGAGTACTTGTATACAAATGTATGAAAACTTGGATTAATGTTGACTTTGTGTTTTATATTTTGCAATCAGGCCAACAGATCCGAAAGCTTGTGAAAGATGGTCTCATCATCAGAAAACCAGTGACCGTACATTCACGGGCGCGATGCCGCAAGAACACCCTCGCTCGTCGTAAGGGCCGTCACACTGGTTACGGTGGGTGTCTTCATGTCTCTGAATATTCATCTGGACAAGCTCATTGTTTAATGGTTGTTCTTCGGCCTCTGCAGGTAAGAGGAAGGGTACAGCTAATGCCCGTATGCCAGAGAAGCTGACCTGGATGCGCCGCATGAGGATCCTTCGCCGTCTGCTCCGTCGCTACAGGGAGTCCAAGAAGATTGACAGGCACATGTATGGATGACTAATTTACTCTGCTCAGTCTCTTATTTTTGTACCTAAATGTTCTAAGTTTGTTTGTACTTTAAGGTATCACAGTCTGTACTTGAAAGCCAAAGGTAATGTTTTCAAAAACAAACGCATTTTGATGGAGCACATTCACAAACTCAAGGCAGATAAGGCTCGCAAGAAGCTCCTCTCGTAAGTGTTTTAAATGACGTACATTGGTTTTGTTTTATAATGGTGAATGCAATGTTTAATGTCATATTTTGATTTAATAACAGTGACCAGGCAGAGGCTCGTCGTACAAAGACAAAGGAAGCTCGCAAACGCAGAGAAGAACGTCTCCAGGCCAAGAAAGAAGAAATGATTAAGACCTTGTCCAAGGAGGAAGAGACCACAAAGAAGTGATTTGATAATGTTGATTATTGTGAATCTCCTTTGTTAAATAAATTAACAAAATAATTCTGTGGTCAGTTTCTTTTCTGGGTAACATAAGTTTATGTGTTGACAAGGGACACAAAGCCGGTAAAACACTAGTTTCTCGTTTTAAAAAGGAGGCAAGTTTGATTTATTAAATTAATCACAAAGCAATAATTACATATTTGGTTTTTATGTAGTCTCGGGTTTCTCTCCCTGGTCTCTCTCTGGTCTCTCTCTGGTCCCTCTGTAGCGACTCTATTGCCGCTGGAGAGGAGAAACCGGGTACGTCTAATTGTATGACGCGCTGCTTGGCTGTCACAGAGCACACTTTGTCAGGAGTTAAGTTTGATGGCGTTTTAATGAAAAGAAACACTGATGAGGTGATAACATAACGTAGACGTCTTGATATTGAACAAAACAGTGAGAAAAACGAAGGTACAAAAGAAACAAACACAAACGAACGGTCAACAAAAACTACGGCGACCCAGCCCCCCTCTCTACTACTGATTTCATTCATAAAACAGAGGTGAGAACTAAGTAGACACCGCCCCAGTAACCACGTGACCCACACCCGGCACATCATCCAATCAAACCCCAGCCCACTGTTATATTCAACTTATGGCTCCTACACAACCAGCCCCTTAATTATGACATATGAAGTCAATAATTCCCTTTGACTGACTTATCCAAAGTCGATGCAAGAGCGAGACAAGAGATCTTCACGTTTAACATCTGCATTTAATTATCTTTACAATCAGATACAGAATATTCAACAAAAAGTGCTCCTAAAACTATATATGTCCCTCTCTCCTGGCCCTCGGCTGACTGACTGCCAATCTCCTCCCAGCAGTTTCTATCAAAGGGTCCGATGACGTCACAGTCTGGGACTGGTCTGGCCCCTGGTCTGGACCCGGTCTTGGTCTTCCCTCTCCACCTGAGCAAACAATGCCCCCCACCACTGGGCGCCTGATTGTGTTGGACTTTTGCCCTCGTCCAGAGTGGGAGAGAGCATTTGTTTATTCTTGGAGTCAATAATTGTCCGGTTTTGTAAGCTGGTCATCTCTATGATTCCTGAGTGCATATTCCTTTGTCCTTGGGGCTTTTCCCCGTGCACCTTCTTCAGAGGGCCTATTTTCAAAATCATTAGTACACAACATTTTAATTATGCAACAGTTTCCCTCTTTTGACCTGATTAAAAATTAGGTCACAATCCACATCGTCGTTTATCATCAATCCTTGTGCTTAGTTCCGGCTCGATATCTGTGAAGAGTTAATACAGAGAAAACAAACACACAACAAACCACATTCGAAACATTCCTTCACTAAACTCTTTGATGACCACTGCTGTCATTCTGATTCTTCTTCAACCTCGTCTGTAATGTATGCACTAAAACTATTCTAATCTATTTACAAATATGGTTGCTTATTTTGCTTTTATTGAGCCCTATTCTTAAACATATGTTTTTATCTAATAAATCTATCTATACTGTGGTTTGCTGTCATTATCAGTGGCTCTGTGCCATTTTGTGGGGCTTTGCTCATTTTTCCAAACACATTTTGTTGAACCAGGAAGTGCTGTCACTTCCTTCTCTCAGACCGTTTGGGATAAATGTACATCGTTAATCAAATTGGTATTATCCGTACAGGAGCTAATCTATTTTAGCAGGTTTCTCTGGGGTTAGTCCCTATACAACGGTATTTTGATTCTCTAATCTGTTGCTGACAAATCGACAGCTCTTAAAATTCTCAAAACTACCTAAAGATCTACTTTTGTGCTATACCCAAATTCACCAAAATGCTTTTAAATGTTTTTGAATCTCTGTTGGTTCTAATCTATCTCATTAATCTAAGCTACATTAATCTAGGCTACACTCATGAACTTTATCTACTTTTGAAGTAACTACTTTTGGACATAATATGAAGGAAATGGTCTTTTTACCGTTTGATATTAACCCTGTCTAAAAATAATCTCTATTTTTTTTTTTTTTTTGAAAGCATCTATCTATTTTACACTCTATTGTGACTCCAAATCTTGGTTGTAGTTTGAGCCAAAGCATATTCCCAATTTTTGAGTTCTGATTGTAACAATTGCATTGGCAATAGATGATTTTTCATTGGCTGGTTCTTGTTCTGCAAATCACTATTCTATGTATTGTATTTCAGACAATTCCAAAAACAACACAGTCGTTCTCCAATATTAAAGACATACATCTAAATCAAGTTGCCTGAAAGGGATTTTAACTATTTTAAAACGTTCTCTACGATTATAAGGCTATGCATTTAATTATTTAATAAACAAAAGCACATTCATGGCTTCTGTCCGCTGCTTATAACTGTTTAAAGAGTTGTCCCAAACTTAATGTGTGTAAATACATCAGCTGTTTGTAATAAACAATAACATTTGACCTGTTCTCCAATGGAGCAGCTCAGAGGCTGCGTCAAGAGCAATGTTATATTTGAGCTATTTTTAGATTTAAAATTGTGTTAAAGCCTGTCGTTCTATGTCTGCATTTTAATACTACTCTCTATAAACACATCTGCACTAGTTCCTACAGATGTGGAAAACAGAAACATCTAAAATCTGACTCCATTTGATTCCTTTTTACTTTAGTTATTAGAACAATTTGACCTTATTGATACTTATTTCCACAATAGAACTATTTTGATTATTCACTAGTCTAACTATTATTACTATTGTTTATTCTGACACCTCTTCCTAGCGACCTTTCAACCTATAGCTCCTTGAATCCAATGACATTATAGCTCCAGACTATTTCATTCTATTCTATTATTATCTTATTATTATATGATCTATTATCTTAAAGAGTAGATCTGTTTGATGTTATAAGCGCTATTATTTCTCCTTTTGAATTTGCACAACACTAAATTTAGAATGACCCCCTATGGGACAAATATAGAATTTTATTTCATTTTGGCAACTCCGAAAATTACTTAATAATTTTCCCATTTTGCTTTTTTAGGCTGCCCTTTCTATTATTTATTTGTTCTTGTAAATATATGTTTTACACTTCTTTCTAATGATTTAGAAGGTTAAGGACCATGACCACCTATGACAATACCATACTCCCCTCTGTTGGTCATGGGCCAAAGTATAAAACATTTTTCTCATTAATCAGATCATTATTATCAGAATCCACATTTTAAATACTTGGCTTTTTTCTGTTTAAATGTTTTTTTTTCCCGCCCCCCGGGGGATATGGAGTTTTTATTATCCTATCACTTCTGACCCTAACTGTCCCTATTTCTCTAATTCTATTCCTATTTTTTCACTAATATGCTTGTGCCTCTGCACGAAGGTGTGCCTCTTTTGCACTTCTAAACCCTGTGGACCTCTCATCCTGTATATTCTTTTTTTAGAGCGAGACCAACATCCCTCAAGGTTCAAAAACGTCGAAAAACCTGACTATTGTTCTATCGCGTCCGATAGAATCGCCCATCACGGCGGTCTTGTCCACACTGCAATCTGTCGAGCCAAAATCTCTCTCTCTTCTATTTAAAACAATGTGCAGATTTCCAAAACTGTGATCCGCTTACCTTAGAAGCGACCTTTTTGAAGAGCAGAGAGATTTTTCCAAACCCACAAATCCAGTCTCTATATCTGAGCTCATCTCTGTCCCGCTCCTGCCCCGATCACGTCGGGATTCACCAAATGAAGTCAATAATTCCCTTTGACTGACGTATCCAAAGTCGATGCAAGAGCGAGACAAGAGATCTTCACGTTTAACATCTGCATTTAATTATCTTTACAATCAGATACAGAATATTCAACAAAAAGTGCTCCTAAAACTATATATGTCCCTCTCTCCTGGCCCTCGGCTGACTGACTGCCAATCTCCTCCCAGCAGTTTCTATCAAAGGGTCCGATGACGTCACAGTCTGGGACTGGTCTGGCCCCTGGTCTGGACCCGGTCTTGGTCTTCCCTCTCCACCTGAGCAAACAATGCCCCCCACCACTGGGCGCCTGATTGTGTTGGACTTTTGCCCTCGTCCAGAGTGGGAGAGAGCATTTGTTTATTCTTGGAGTCAATAATTGTCTGGTTTTGTAAGCTGGTCATCTCTATGATTCCTGAGTGCATATTCCTTTGTCCTTGGGGCTTTTCCCCGTGCACCTTCTTCAGAGGGCCTATTTTCAAAATCATTAAACACATGTATACAATATTACATTGAGCTATTTCTATTTTGTTGCAACTTTCAGAGCCTGCAGTACTATAGCAGGAGCTTATGAGAGAATTTTTCTAAAAGGATCCATTCAAACTTTGTTATTGTTTAAACCACGTGTTCCATGATTACCGGGCTATATCCACATGAGCTATTGTGTCCCCTATATTTTTAATGAGCAACTTGTAGCTTAAAAAAAAAAATGCCTGCATTTTAATTATGCAACATGTGGAAGAAAAGACCATGGTTTATTGTGTGTGTACTTGCCCCAATCATGTCTCAGATAAACTGCCAACAGTTTAATCAAAGACATAATTGTCCTAATTGGTTTCTAATTTAGCTATTTGGAAGAGAAACATGTCATAAAAGATTTCATAAAATGTCCCTACATCCGTGTTTTCAACCAATGAACAGTGTTGCATCAATGTGTTATCAGAAATGATCCAAAATCACCTTTAGCCAAAATTTAGAAATGCTTTAAACCATTTTTCAAACTTTAATTGTCTGAACAAACCATTTTGTACTAAATGCAAGCGTCCATTAAAAGCTGCAGTTCTCTTTCTAGCACCAAGTTTCAACTGTGCATGTGACTGTTTTAAATGAGTAACGAGCCACGGTTCAAGAGGTTGAAAACACTGCTTTAAATATCCGTATTACCCAAGATCATGCAGTTAAAATCAATAATTCTAAACTTCTCCGCGTCTATAACTTTAAATAATACTAGTTTCAATAATAGTGCTCCCTCTACTTCTAAATATACTGCTGTTCTAATCTCCTTGTGTCTCATGCTAAAGCAAGAGTCTAATTAA